ATAATATAATGACCTCATTATTTTCCCGTGCGGTCGTTGTGTTATCGAAGTAAAAAGTTTCTCGGCTTCGACTTCGTCGTCATCGCAGAGGCGTAACGACTAAGTAAAAAGTTAAGTTGGTTTTTCTTTCTTCGGTTGCCAGAAGCAAAGTAAAAAAAAAGTTTTATTAAAAAAGAAGCAGTTTCGAAAGTGACGGTTCGTGTGAAACAATTAATTACTCTATTTATTAAGAATTAGCCGCGACCACTTTCCTTGTCGACCGGTTGTTTGAACTTGAATAACAAACATTCCATTACTCCCTAGTGAATTCAACTCAATATGCTCCCTATATCATTATTTTATATACTTTTCATGATGGAAACATCTCATCGTCTGATTCGGACTGTGTCTAGTAGACCACGAAGGCCACTGTTGTAAAGCAGATGTTTTTCACCACTAAAAGGAGAACGTACACCGTCATAACCATCATAGTCATAATAATTATTATTTATTTGCCGTTTGTAGTTTTACCATTACCGATACGGTTAGGAGGGGAATGATTAAAAAGTCACGTGTCTCCTTTACGCCAAAAAAAAATGTGTATATATTTGATTGATGAACACAGAACACATCATGTGTTGACAATTGAATTCTGCGCTAGTGATTTGTCATCTGCCCCAAATATGTTATTCTGAACTTTTCGAAGAGGTTTTATACAAATTACAATTTTTAAATATAATTATTTTTGGTTAACGCACGCTTATAGTTTTTAAAGAAAACCAGATTGATACATCCTTCATTTAGCAATAATATAGTTCCAAATCTGCAATTCGTTATATAGTTGGTAGCATTTTTCTATTCTCGAATTTCGAAAACACGCGGTATGCTTTGCAATTTTTGGCCATAATTAAATTGACAGTATATCTCAAAACCCAAGTATCGTATCAAATTTCTCTTTTTTTGTTACCTGATCAAGCAAAAAAACAAAGCGGCGACACAAACACAAACACATCTGCCACGTGAGCAAACACATCACACGAGCATTGTGCCTATAGAATACGAGCTACCCCCCATATGGGTTGTTGGATGATGATAAAGGTTCTACTAGGGTAGGCCGTTGTTCAATATTTTATTTGTAATTACTAGGGCGGGAATGACTGTACATTTTTTGCTCTTTGCCTGAGTAGGAGGGTTATTTTTAAGTTATTAATTTTCTTTTGTATTCACATTCCTCCTCATACAAATCCACCCACCGACCCCAAAGCACAATTATTAAGATTCCACAGTGACTTTAAGAGGAGGGACCTGAATGAGCAAAATACAATCTCAACTCGTGTTCGAAAGAAAAACATAAAGCGGCGAGGGGGCTGAAGTGGGGTTTTCGAAGTATGAATACTAATGGTAAAATTTTAATTGCGGTAGCGGTGAGTGTTGTTTGGAATGTTTTTATTTATAAACCACTGCAACACTAAAAAGTTATCGTTATTATCGTTTTGGCAATTAAATATATATCTCTTTTGGATGACAATGTTTGTCACAGTTGGGCATTTCGTTTTTTGCTTCGTTGTTTATATAAAAACGACTTCAGCGGCGGTCATTAGCATAAAGATTGGCTAAACCTGTGTATTTTTACAATGTTTTCACTTAGTGTCAATAAAAATGTGTAATGTAATAGTTCGAATTATAGGATGTTTGAAAAAATCAATTACATTAATTCAATAAACCACACAAACATATTTACATAATTTATTAAAAGTATCGATTGCATAGTGCACAGATTTGGTGATAATGTCAATTGTCATGCATTTAATAAATTCCATACCATCAACTAACATTGAACTAACCTTCCGAAAAATATGCACTTATTACATTTGTGTAACTATGCCATACAAATATTATAAATATGCGTTAACGACATCCAATGTAGATGAATTTAACTAGAAGTCATTAAATTTTAATTGTTTATGTATTTTGTACTATGCATATTTATAATTATGTGGTACCGTATTAGTAATAGAATATAATACAGTTTTAATAGTTATACGTTATAGCTTTTTAACTATGTAAATAATAATATAGCGTTAAATGTCGTGTTATTAGTAAAAACAGTAAATTGCAATAACCATTGTCCATTGATTCTTGCTCGTGTCGTCCACGTTATAATACCTTAATCGATTAAGTTTACTTGTTCTTATTATCTGCACTATTAGACGTAGACCGTTAATAATTTGAGGTTTATTACATAGCCGAATTGTGGCGAAAAATACCATGTATTATAAACCATTATTTACACCTTTTCCCAAAAATATAATCAAGTATATGAGTTTATATATTTATATAAATTACCCCAAATTCTAGTTAAGGGCGTATGGTTTCTTTTATTACCCGTAGGTATGATTACGGAGCGTTCAATTTGGACGTTTCGACTTTTTCGCCCTCGAGCAAATTATACGATTATACGAATTTGTCGGGTATAAAATTAATAACCGACCAGGTCGAGGGGGCGTATGTAACAAACGTGTTTTCATCCCGTTACAGTCATTTCATTATGTCTTCGCGATGGGGGTTGTTAAAACCAAAAAGAACAAGACGGCCAACAAAACAAAAAAAAAAAGGCCGTGTTATGATGACGAGCGCCGGCAACAGGTGCCAACGTTATCATCAGATCCTCTGCCGCCGTGAGGGCGTCGGGCGTGAAACCGACTGGCCGCCGTTAAAAACGTCTGGACAGATGTTAGGTCGCACCTGCCCTACTCTTGTGTACCTACCCCGCCGTCGGTCTGACCCGCGGGCCATCGGGCACTGATTAATCGTGATGGCCTTGAAAATGGTTTTTAGTAGAAAGAGGAGGATGCGGCTCTAATCGAAAATCAAATCTAGGCAATATAACATTGCGAGACGTGTTCTTCTTCTGCCCTTATCGCGGCCGACGTTCGACGACTACGGTTGTCGAACAAAAGACCGTTAGTGCCGCCGAATACCCGGCGGAGAACAAATTAATTGGAACTCGTTTTTTAATGATTTTTCAAAACCAACTACTACTCGTCGGCGTATAAAACAATTTTCGCATTGAGACAAACGCTCGTAGATAATTTCAAAGCCTACAAACCCCTTAAATGGATTTTTCTTATTATTACGCGGTTCGTGTGGACAGATGGTCATCGTACACGGCGCGTCTTACATGTAAAATGAGCTCGGCGGAGACCATTGAGTCTCCCTCTGTGTGTACCACCATTACCACAGCCTACACTCTGCCGTCATCGGATTGAAAACAAATATACAATGCGTCTATAATAATGTATACAACTTAAGGTATATACATGTGTGCGTGTCGTTACAAAGCACTACGGCGACGGAGGAATATCCTTTTATATTTTATCCCCTTACATGTGTGTAACCCTTCACATATATTTCACCGTGCCCGGTCGCCGTTAACCCGAAGCAAACCATAATATTTCATATGCACAGCGGCCACCATAATATAGGCATTTGTAATATGTTATTATTATAACTCGTGCCCGCAGTACAACACCACCGACCGTCTCTTTCCTCTGCGCCAAAATCTAACCCTTTTATGAAAACTACCTATACCTATGTGCGTGCACGGCTCGTTACATATCCATATTGTCCCGCCACTATGTCCTTCCGATGATAAGAATGTGTCGTCGCCACCTTACATATGCATGCGTGATGACGAATTTGTAATGGCTCACGGTCGCCGTCCTGTGTGAACAGTCTTGTGAGCTGCATTAGAAGAAATGTGTATAGAAGACATTCACACGTTGTACACAGCAGCGGTTGACCCACCGTATCTGATTTGGTTACCTTCGCTATTATGAATAACAATGAGCTTCAAGAAATCGACTCGCTGCTCTCGGACACGTTGAAAATATCTAACACACACGCCTGTATCATAATAATAATAATAATATGTGTATTATGTCTTCTTGGTAGATGTAATATATGTTAAAATGTGTTCGTCTATTTTCGAAACGACGGTGTTGATTTCTGCAGCCAGCAAAGTTTAACGCCACTCATATTATATAGACAAAAATAAAACAAAGCGTGGGTATCTGCGAAAACAAGAAAAACATATTTAACTGTTGGATATAAATCGAAATTTGTTTTACCAAAAGGCATACTACATAATAATATGTCTCATAAATACCTGTAGAAAATATTTATGTCGATATCCTCTGATTTCCATATAACAGCTGAATTTAAATCACAAACACCTTGTATTTGGTATAACGATGTCTTTCACTGACATTTTCACTTACCTCTTGAATCGGTACTTTATTGCCTTTTTAAGACACGAGTATATTTTTCATTCTTTATATTACAATAAACGCATGTATTCATCGCCCCCGCTGTTGATATTCTTTACCTATTACTACATTTTGTCTAACACGATCGATATGTTTGAAAATAATTTCAATAATACTAGCACAGTGTTTGTATATGAACAAAAATTAGTTCTATAATTGTATTCTAACCAAAAAATTAAAATATTTTCAAATATTACCAATTTGGCTGTTGTTATCGTGTGTACAATTTAGGTAATACTGAGCACAGATACTTCATCTCCATCATAATATTACACTTGTATACCTGCACCTCGTCGCTATCAAGAACAATACTAATTTCTCTTGATTACTATTAAATGTGCTTAACTAGAGTAATAGATAATATGTAGACTTCTCAGTTTATGTAAGCAGGACATCGTATAGCCCGCCTGTCACGGCAATCGGATAGTCTTATGAAATATACTCTTTAGCAAATTTACTAAGGATTTTCCTAAACGTACACCAATATCAAGCGTAGTCTTATGGGCGGACGGCACGCAGTGCGCTTTATGGATCCCTCCCGATGAACTGATGATGATTTGAAATAGTGTTTCTACGAGACCATTAAACACATTATTGTCATATTGCCGTAGTTCACCTGTACTAATATTTAAAATATGTATTAATTTCAATGATGTGTCAGTCTTTCTTATGATTTTGTTTTGTTTTTTTTAGTATGGTCATGTTATGGTCAGGAAGGGATGACCGACACACGAGAGGGCGAAGACATCTCGTTAAAATGCCGGTTTAATGGTCAGCTGCCGTCTACTGTAGCAGAAACTCAATATTATTGGCTTAGGACAAATAAACATAATCAAGATAACGTAGCCATCAAAGCTACTCCACTGGAAGGCAACTACAAGTGAGTACATTATTTTTGCTCCCGCAGTAAAAAATTAATAATTACTCTTTTCAACGTATGTCTTCTGATGTTACAACAAAAAAATCTTAATTATTTTTAATCACACGATTTACTTAAATAATACAAACATAATTTTAATTTGATTTGTATATTTTACTTTTTCGCTTCTCGCGCACTAGTTCAAAGCAATTATATTATAATAATAATAAAAAAATGTGGCTATAAAAAGACGACTATATCGAGAAATACTATGTTTAAGAAGCGTGTCTTTTATTTTTTTCTTATGTTTTATGTCTGAATACTATACACACGTACTGTAAAATAATCTGAACGTATCTGTGTTTATTATAGACTTGATTTCCGTCCAGAATTGGGAATTTATGACCTGTTAATATCAAACTCTACATACGAAAGGGATAACGGAAAATTCGAGTGTCGACTAAAAGCAGCCGGTACCGGTCGTGAAATTCATTCGCAGAGTTTTCAAATTACAGTCTTAACACCACCGAGTCCACCGAGGATCTTGCCAGGTCCGAATCCCGTAGCTACCGAAGGACGTCCCCTAGAGCTGTCCTGTACGAGTTCCGGCGGTAGTCCCGACCCTGTTATTCGATGGTATCGCGAAGGCGTTCAAGACCCAATCGAATCCGTGACTCGGATCGCCAACAGTAATAAGGAAACGACGACGTCCGCTGTTGTACAAGTAACTCCTAATCGTGAGGACGATGGCGCTGTTTACAGATGTGTAGTTTGGAACAGGGCTATGGCCGAAAGCGTAAAATTGGAAACCAGAACTACACTGAGCGTAAACTGTAAGTATAGCTAATGACGTATTTATAACTTGTAGACACTAAAAATAATCGATATCGAAAGAGTTTTGAGTGAAACAAGAAACACGTGGCCGTATCAGTATAAATAGATTTGTACATTGATCTCAATTCCTGATCTAACAATCGCGTTGATTGACAAGACGGCTGTGTAAAGCTATCGAAACAGTGTGCTGTTTACCCTGTTTTCCGTCCCTTTTATAAAAGAGGAAGCCCGAGAGATTTATATACTTCGCGGTCTTAACTAAACAGAATAAATTACGCATCCGGTTATTGCGTGCTCTCGGCCTGAATACTAATTGACGTACTAAATCAAGCTGCGTACATTATTCCATTTAAGACAAATAACCGACAATCTGTACGAAAATAAACATTTCATTTTTACACGCGTGTCTGTCTTTATATGCTCATTTTACATAAAGTATTAATACTGTGTACTGTTACAGATTATCCACGAGTTCAGATTGGCCCAGAAAATCCTCTGCGTGTCGAGAGAGACGATTCAATTACGTTGCAGTGCAACGTAGATGCCAAACCTCGTGTAAACAACGTCAGGTGGATGCGCGACGACCGTTTTATAGCTACCTCGTTCACTCACGTCATCCAAAAAGTCACCCCCCAAGATGCTGGTACTTATACGTGCATGGCCGACAACGGTTTAGGACAAACCCGTGAAGCTGAACTCGTGTTGGATGTTCAATATCCTCCACAAGTGACCGTCGAGACCGGACCCGGCATGGCTAGACAACGCGAAGCCGAAGAAGGAGAGAGCATCACCATTCAATGCAACGTGTCAGCCAACCCTCCGCCCGTTTCCGTCGAATGGATCCGCGAAGGACGTCCCGACTTCCGGCAATCTGGAGAAGTTCTTCGCATACCCAAAGTCACCGCAGACGCAGGAGGCGTCTACACTTGTAGAGCTGTCAACATACTTTACCCATCTTCTCTGACTCGCCAAAGAGTCAACCGCATTGGAAACGCATCCGTAACTCTGCTCGTCCGTCATCGACCAGGATTGTCGAGGATCACGCCAGAAAGACCGGTGGCCACCGAAGGTACAGGAGTAACGCTTACTTGTTCAGCATCGCCTCCCGGCTGGCCGACGCCTCAGTACAAGTGGTGGAGAGAATTCGACTCGGCCAACCCGTCCACCAGCGCAACGATTTTAGCCACCGGTCAAAAGTATACCATCCAATCCGTACATCTAGGCAGTGAAGGTCGCTATAGATGTCAAGCATCGAATGAAATGGGAACCGGAGAAGCGGCATCTGTCCAATTGACCGTACATCACGCACCGAAATTCGTTACCAAATTACAACCACACGTCACCAGACGCGCTACTGACATTGGATTTTCAGCAATCTGCGCCGTTCAAGGCAAGCCAAAACCGGCGGTAACATGGTTTAAAGACGGTAAAGAGGTTTCGCGCGATTGGTTTGATGTGAGCACAGACGAAACGGAAAACCATAATGGAGTAACCACCGTGCACAGTACTCTTAAGTTTCACGGTAAGGAAAGGCCCCGAGGAAACCAGCTCGTACCATCTGACCGCGGTGTATACTCTTGTGCTTTCGAGAACGACGTCAAGAAGGTCGAGTCCAGCATGCTTCTCAGAATTGAACGTAAGTATAGTGTAACAGTTTATTATCATAATAATCACAATCGGATGCCTTTGAGATAAATCAGTTGCTGAGCGATTACTCTACCAATGCACATATCTTATTTCCATTCCCAGTTGGTTCTTTATTTTAGTCTTTAAATGAAAAACTACGATTTTTGGCTTCATTAATAAATTCATCCTGTTCATATACACATGTTTTTTAATACGACTCATTTTCTTTTTAGACGAACCTATCGTGTTGCATCAATTTAACAAAGTGGCCAGCGATTTGTACGAAACGGCTGAGGTCATATGTAGGGTTCAGGCGTATCCTAGACCGGAGTTCCAATGGAGCTATAACAATCACTTAGCTCCGCTTTTAGCCGGCAGCGATGGTCATTATGAGATCAATACGACCATCAACGAGAGCGGCGGTGACATCTACACAAGCGTTCTGCAAGTGTCCAATCTTCGGGAAACCGACTACGGGGATTACAGTTGTCGTGTAGCCAACACTCTAGGAAGCGTACGACCCACGATAAGACTTCAACCCAAAGGACCGCCAGATCACCCGGAAAACGTGACAGCTGTGGATGTCGGCCACAATAGTGTCGTTTTGCAGTGGAACAGTGGGTTTAACGGCGGCGTAGCTAGTACCAAACACTTTGTCAGCTACAAAAAGGTGGCTGCGGACGAAAACGAAGTCGACAGCGATTGTTACACGGCCAAGAAGTCCAATCAGCCAGAGAAATGGCAGGAATTCGACTGTCAAACAAAAAATCCTTGCAACGTTACCAACTTGGAACAGCATCAGAGCTACTTATTCAAGGTAAATAAGCCTCTTATCGTCACGTATATTAATAACAATCATAGAACGTGTAACGTGTTAAGTGGACGCGAAGTGTTAAACAAATGAAAAAGGTATCACGGTTGAACGAGTTTTTAACAAAAGGGTAGGAAGCAACATAGTATAGTTAGATGTGATGTCAAATCACCTGTGAAAACAATGAGCACAGCCAGAATTGATACTGCACTTTATAACGCAGAATACCTATTTCTCCCCATCTCCAGTTAATAGACTTTTTTGTGTCGGCATTGTTACTCGTTTTAATAAATTTACAAGGGGAAAAAATTGTTAGATTAACAGTTCCTGCTTTTATTTTCAGGTAAAAGCGTACAACACGAAGGGACATAGTGAATATTCACAGGAGGCAATTTTCATGACCAAAGTGGACCGTATACCAGCGCCACAACGTGTAACATTCGACCCCGAATCCCATGCGTTAACCATCAACATAGGAGCAACTTGCCTACAACTTGTAAGACATACGATTTATTGTACTTTTTGTTGTCAACATTATATATATATATATATATATATATATGGTTGTGTGTGTGTGTATGTAAGATATTGCAGTATTGGCAAAAGTTAACTTATTTTAACATTTTTTTAGGTGGGAGTCGTTGAAGCAATCATAGGTGGAACTGGGAATGGTGCTAGAGAGGATTGGCATTTAATTGAAACTCTTCCTTTAGCCGTCAGTGGCAGCACGTCGACACACAGAGAAGCTACCATAATATCACTTGTTTCGAGACGCCAAAGTACAGGCGCTCGTTCATTAGATGACGACGACTTAAATTTGATTGCTAACAATGAAGAAGAAGACCCTATTGACAAACCAGTAGATGATGTGCGCATAAGAGTCAGATTATGTTTGCGGTCTAGTCAAACTACATGTGGTGATTACACAGAGGCAGAAAGTAAGTAAACGATTTTTTCGAATTGGATATAGCTTTTATCACAAATTGTTATACTAATGATATTTTGTTTTGATTTTTAGTTGGAGCTAATTTTGTTAAGGAACAACAAGCCATTGCCACTCCGACACTCATTGCATTGGTTGTATCATGTGTTGTATTCATACTGTTTATAGCTTTACTTTTTGTCTTTTGTCGTTGCAAACGTAAGACAGCAAAGAAAAGTACTGGAAAAGACTACGAGATGGATTCTTCAACGTAAGTTCATGTCATCTTTTACTCGACTCTAATCCTCATCATCTTGTAATTACAAAAAAACTTTTCGTGTTTAAACAATTATTTATTTCCTATCTCGTTACCTATGTATTATCTTTTAGTCAGTTATATGTTCATAAAAATGATCAGTATTAAAAGTCTTTATTAGATTTCAAAATTGCTATTTTATTTAGTAATTATACAGACTACTTCTTGTCCTTAAATATTTATAAGTTAAGCCCTAGATTCTTTAAAGAGAATCTGGGGTTATTAGTATTATAATATAGGGAGAATTTATGATGTAATTGTGAACAATTTGTATGTCTTTTATTTTGTTCTTTACAACATTTTATTTTTATAAATAACAACTTTCTAATATTAGTTAAATAGAGTTATAATGTGTAGGTGCTTAAGTAGTTAGTATACACGTCACAAAAAGATGTGTCATCTATGTTTTTATAAATATGATATTACTTTTAATTAATAGTATGTATTTTACATTATTCTCTCTATGATTACACGCTACATACTGGCGTTTTTGTAAATTGGTAAGTATTTTTTGTACTTAGTGGGATTGTTTTTTAAATTTGACAATAGATGCTTTATTAATTCCATTATTACTTTTCAAAACATAATCTAGACTTTTTATACATATTTTTCATATACATTTTATTATGACCATTTGATTAATCAAATTTGTTTTATATGTTTATAGTGTTCACCCTAGTATTATACATGGACCCCCACCTTACACTGAACCCGGACTTGAAAACAAAGCTTTACAACAGTCTGTAGATTTAGTCCATGATGTCACAAAGAATGCTGTGTATGGAACTCAAAACGATTATAACACCTATCACACGGGCAATGAATTACGTCCAAATGGTGAATGTAAGATTTGAATAATAATAGATAAACATGAACACAAAAAAAATATATTAAATTGATATGTTTAATGTAATTTTAAAAGTATTTTTTATTTATATATTATTTTTACTTATAAAACTTTATATTTTTTTGTATTGTAGGGGTAAATGTTGGTTATATTGAAAATAGCTATTCTAACTCAAACAATGGTGGATCAGTTAATTCACAGGATTCCTTATGGCAGCTGAAAATGGGAGGCAATGGTAGTACTGGAGGTACTCTCATATCTCGAGACGATCCTTTACAAATGGGCGATCGAATAAATCACTATGGTAATTTTCAAACAAACAATTTTTTTTTTATTAAATATTCAAGTCTAATTATTTATTTTAATTAGGTGGCTATGATCCCTTAACTCATGGTGGCTATGGTAATATGGATGATTATGTTCATTACCCTCAACTGACATCTGCTAGTCCCGATTATAGCACACATAGTCACGCTCCGTCAAGACAAGATTACATTCACAGCGGTCATCTACAACCTGTTGATAAGACTCGTAGGCGGGAACCACATCTTGGTAAGTGTATTTTTATTATAAATGTTGTACCATAAAAACCAATGTAATTAATATATGTTAATCTATTAATTTACAGAATCACCTTATGGCGATGTGAGTGGACTACCCGATCCTTATCTTGAACAGCTGATTGAAAATGAAGAACACATGAAAACTCAACCCCACCCCCACCCACATTTATCCATGTCATACGACGAAAGCCTCGAATCTGGTTATTCAACGCCAAACTCACGGACAAGACGGATTATTAGAGAGATCATTGTATAAATATGTCTCTGTTTTCCTACATGTATAGTGTTTATTTTTAATTTTTGACATTGTTCTTGTAAATAATCAAACGTTATTGTGTTGTTATGGCGTCATCAGATCTCAACATTTTATTTGTGCTCAACATCCACAGTTTTATAATATTATGAAGTTTGTTTACATCATAGTTTGCATCATGTAATTTTTTCCCATTTCCACTACACTGCCTATGTGTTCTTTATAAATATGTGTGATTTTTTTTTTTAATTTAGAAACATCCTATACTGAAGTGTTTTGTTCGATAACTTAACACAATAATTTTCATTATAGTCTTGTTATAATGTTTTGATAACAATTTTAAATTGTTTAGTCAAGCGTTTAATACAATTTCTTTTAAAGTAATATTATTGTATCATTTTTCAGTTGTAATTATAAATTACGTAAATAACTGTAAATGAAGTTCTACTTCGCATCCGCCACTTATGATACTATCACATAAAACAAAATATTTTTCAACAAATTTGATCTTTAAATTTAATACAAAAAAAAATAGTGTTCACTCTGATGGCCGAAATTGTAAATGGTTGTAATGTTTTAAATAATTAAAAATATTTGTAAGACATTGAGCCAGTAACAGGATTAACTTTTGCGCACATTGTTAAAAAATGAATATGTTCCTAGATTTTTTCTTCAATTTAACGATCAATAATATTATTTTTGTTTAAATGTTTTGTTTTTATATTTAGTCGTGTTCTGACTTAAGACTGTTTTATCTAAATTTCTTGACCTCTCGTGTACACTCATAAGTAATTACAGGCAATATGATTAATCTTACTTTTAATATGCAATTAATAACTAGTTCCTATTTTCAACAAGGTTCAAAAAGTATGATGAACAAAAAAAAATATTATAAAATATGAGTGTATATTAATAGGTCAAGAACATGGTGAAAATTATTATTTTATAGTAATAATAATTTTTATTATTTTATTTTTATTTAATATTATTAACAGATGAACAAAATTAGGTATGTGCCATTATGTGCTAATTTTAAAATTGTAAAACTGTAGATATGTTTTTTTTTATTTAATACTGTCACTATATTTACATAAGTTTATTTAAAAAAACAGTCAAATATATTTCCATGAAATTGTACATTTTTATGATTCGACTGCTGCAAGTACTTCTCAAGATTGTTTATTATTATTTATGTTTTGTACATTTTGTTTTTATTTTATTTGTACTTAATAGTTATATTAAAATGTACATTCATTTAAAATACCATAAATTATAGTATTGTTTTAGCTTAGTATTCTTTAATTTTATATTTGTGAACAAATGTATGGATATTTATAAATATATATTATAAGCAACACATTTATTATGGTCTGCTTAAAAATACACAGTCCATAGTTTATGTTTTACATTACTGAAGTATACTTTTCCAGAGTATTATTATTTTTTAATAACTATAATGACATTTGTTTCATATTAATTTTGCTCTTAGTCATTATACTTCTCGTGCAATGTGTGGAATATTATATTAAAATAAAAATATATACTATACAATTATAATTTACTGTGTTAAAAGTTTATTTTCCATTAAAAAACAAAACGTTAATTACTTACCTAAATAAGTATTATTGTAGTTTAGTTCGTTTGGAATATTTTTGAGATGATGTCTGCTTATTATTACAAATTTACAATTTAAATGAAGTATACTTATATAGCCCTATTAGTATCCAGAAATCAGTTATTGCTTACAATTACTGAAAACAGTAAATTGAACCAAAACTTATATTTTACCCTAATCTGAACAGTAACAAAAAAAACCATGTATGTGCCAAGGCAGTTCACATTAATTTAACATAAATGAACACTTTTATGGACAATAACAAAAAGTCAAAAAAAAATTATGCTTTATTAATTCTTAGTTTAACAGCTCATTCAAGTCCATCACTGCCACTTTCGAGGAGATTTTTAATAATTTAAGTACTCTGGAGTCTTGTTTATGTAACAATTTATTAGCAGTTAATGGAGCCAACCATAACCAAATGACGAATCTGTTACAGTGAACGCTATTACTGTCGCCTAAACTATTCTAATGTTAACGCCTCCTATTAATGTAAACTGTTTTATTTACTAATTCGATTTTAATACCTCAGATATAACATGTTTTAATAATGATAATTAGAGAGCATATCTTTGAACAGAACTATTACTTATATAATTACATATGGTCGATCAGTGAAGTTCACTGAGTGAACTATCATTACTAAACATTTCTTTAAAAATAAGTAATAAGTAATAACATATTTTCATATGATAAAATAAATATGAATCATTACAGATAGTGTTTAATAATATCTTATTAACTATTAATAAACTGCTGTTTGAGACTTTTCGCTCTAAAATAAATTGATTCAAAGAGATACTTTATTTTAATAAAGTAAAACAACGTTTTACATGGTATAAAAGAACAATTTATTATTTCTGGAAAGTGGAAGAGTTAATATCAATATAGCCTGTTTCAATCATTTAGATAAGAATAATATATATTTTATCATTATAATTATTATCTCGGTGTTCATTTGATTTGCTTATGGTTATTTCATTATCGATAATATTATTAAAATCCCGCCATCAGCTAGTTGCAATATACTATATAGGCCTAATTTGATTATTATCAGATAGATGTTTTCGTGTTAATTATTAAATAAATAAATATGTAATAATAACTCTTATATTTTTAATTGGCGTCTGTGGATGCGCTATAATATTACAAGTTATAAGTTATGATTTTATTAATTGGAATGTTTGAGGTTTAAATTGTTAAAATTACGTTTTGGAAAATATAAATAAGTACCTAAATTTACACATCTTTTGTGATCTCAAATCTGATCGATAATGGAAAACCATTCATCAAATAAACGATCTCTAGACGTTGTCGACCAAGATAAAAAAGAGGAACCGCCATGTAAAAAATTGAAAAGTGAACGTAATGAACAAAAATCATCCCACTTCGGTAGTGAAGACTCTAAACAAATAAATTCTGAAAAAGAAATTAAAATATGGAATTTAATAGCTTTGATCGTGTACGAATTACTTGTGATGTTGAGACAGAGTGCTCAATATTTAGCTGTTAGCACACCATCAACAACATCGCTTGACCAGGTAAACTATGGAACAACTATTAATAATACAAAATTTCAATTTGAAATAGAACCATAAATTTAAAAAAATGTATCCAAACTAATAGAATTGATAATTATTTTAGAATGAAACATGCTTTAGTCTTGTCCTCCAGCCCAAAAATGACAATAAATAGAGATACTCTAAAGCGCTCTTACTTTAAACGTATAATAACGAATCGTCGTCGTCATGCAAACGTTTGGTCAGAACTTATAATTAAGACTATACTAACATCATGAATCGCAAGGAGATTTAGATCAGAAATAATGACTATTCAGAAGCCAGCAGGCTAAAGCATGTTCCATGTTTTATAATTTTAGCAGTTAGGCTTTAAGTAGACTGTAATTACTTTTAAATAATTATCGTTAAATCAAATATTATTTATAAAATATTGTTCTAACGTCAAAACCTATAAATATAAATGTAAAAGGCATAATTTTTTTGTAATGTTTTAGTTTAGTTTTTAACCTGATATTTAAATAAAGTCGAGAAGGGGGCTGTCAGGATTTTATGGATCTTCTGGTTATATGTTTAGAAAATAGTAGACGACATCGTAGAAATCTGCTAAATGCATGTAGATAGTCCTTCTGCACCTCAATAATATTTTACTTAAAACACCCAATGCAAAGTCCATCAGTATGCCATCAGATTGTATATTGTCTTATTTCAGTTTTGAAACCATATTTGAGCTCACGGTAGTATTCTAGGTATTTAAATTTTCACATTTTCCACTATAGCATACCTATTGTTTGGTTTTGATTTTTTTTATGTTTGTTTTGTGTAAACGGGAATAATAAGTGTGGTAAGATATATTGGTGGACAACTAAAAATCCAGGGCTATCCACTTTTGCGATCAAGATATGGTATCATAATATCATGTCCATTAGTTTTGTTTAATCAGTAAACTAGATTTATAAAAAAGTATAATTTTAGCAGTGTAAATTTACACATTACAAATCTATTTTTATGAAACAGAATATATGACAATTATTATGGTAATATTCCAAGTCCCAATTTAAAATGTTTATCAAAGCTTTAATATACTCCAGATAAAAGTTTTTCAATTTTATTTTTCATACCTAAATTAAACTTGTAATTCTGTTTACATAAATATTACATACTATTAATTTTTAAGTATTGAAAAATTCAATTATTTATATCTATCAGATTTTATCAATTTTAAGTAATAAATTTCTATTGTTTATAAATTTGATTCATCAGTTATTTGTCGATCTCCTTCAGTACCAAGTGCTTAGGTGTGACTTAATTAAATGACAACACAATATAAGATTGTTATACAAACCTAATTCAAAAGTTTTTCACTAATTAAGAATAAATTAGTGTATTTTATAATTTTTTTAAATTAATTTTTTCTTATTAATATGATTTACACTACTATAGTTTTAACCCCCATATTTATGTATAATATATAAATAATCGGCACTTTTTTGTTTTTTAGAACGAAAACAATAATGTTCAAGAAAATTTAAGTAATGATATTCATCAAAATGATAGAAACAAATTATCAAATAGCACTAATTGTGCGAAGAAGCTCAAGAAAAAATCTGTAATGGGGAAAAGGAAAAAAAAGAAAAAAACTTTATCTGAGTTGGATATTATGGAAGCTGTTAACCCAAATAAAATGAATAGTTTCAAGTACACTGTAAACAAATCTTTAGTTAATCTTAAAGATTTAGATACTTATATGAAAAAAACAGAAAATATTTCAGTTCAATCTGAAAGTACTAATTTATCTAAGTCATTAAGAGTCAAAGAACAACCTACACAATTTATTTCAACGCCATCTAATGATATAGATAAAAAAAATGTATTGGTAATTTTTTTTTTAATTTAATTGTTATCTAAAATTTTAAAATGTATTATGCAGAATTATTTTTGCAAAACAAAATTTCTATTTTACAAGGCTGTTCAGCTTATAGTAAGAACTCGTCTTATATCAATTTTATGGTTTGAATATTTGAAATTTGATCAAGTTAGAAAACTTGAAGGAAAATTAACTTCAAAGAAACTGAATTACCATCAATAGTTATTACGAAATTAAACATGTTTAATATTTTAATACATTGACTTAAAGTTACCCTCTAAAATCTTAAAATATTTGGAACTTTTTGGGCTAAAACAAATATTTTATAGGAAATATTATTACCATAACATTATTTGTGAATGACCTTTTATATAGTTTATTACTTTTGTAGGAACTATATAAACAATATTTAAGTATTATATTTTTCCAGATTGGATATGACAATAATAACTCTACAAATAAATCAAATATTGCAAGTGATGATGTTCAAACAAAACTTCCAATGAATGATATGAACAATGTGGCAGTAGTAGACAACCAAACTAATAAACTAACGCAAACAAAGGCACATTTAAATTTACACGATATTTTAAAAATGGATTGTATGGAAGGACTTCTAAATAGACCCAAAACTAAACCTGTACCATGTTCTTGTAATTATTGTGTATTTGTGGATAATTTACCTAATAATGAATCACTAGCGATGGTAGTACTTAACAATAATAGTTATAATAAATTCTCTAATACGCAACATCTTAATTTACCTTCAGATCACTTAAATATGTTTAATAACACTTTTTACAATGGAGCTAATGTCCCTAATTGTCAAAACTGTGCTTCTAACAGCATGTTTGGCATGCCAAATAATTGTTACTGTACAATTTCAAAGGTCGATTTAAGAGTACCTCTACAATCCATTGATAGACCTGCTAATAGAAGTTGGGTTGATAATCTAATTTTATTGATTAAGACAAATCGTGAAGTATACAATATTCCTAAAGAAAACAATATTGATACAATAGAATCGGAAACATTAGAGTCTGAATCTGAAGTTCATATTACAGAAATAATGAACAAAGTGCGAGATGCAGCAGAAAAAATTAAAGCTTACCTTCCGCTGTGCGAATATTGTGGCAAGTCAAAGTTATCCTATTCGTCTGAATGCGATTGTAGTCTAGACAATGTGGAATCGTTAAATTATGACAAAGCGCCAATAGTAGACTTTAATTGTAATATTTTTAACGATAATGTTAATAAATTTAGAAAAGTTTCATGGCCATAAATTGTTAAAATATGTTTATAAGTTGTTAATTACATTTATAGTATGAAAGTTAATTTTCGTATGTGAAAAAAATTATGTTATTTGAGGAAATGTAAAATTTTACTCTAATGTATAGTCTTATCAAATATTTATTTCAAATTATTTAATTTGAGTTTCTTCAATTCCTCAATTCAAAGTAATATCTTTACTTTGTTAGTTGATAACTTTATACCTTTTTCGAACAAATAAACATTAATACTTATTGAGACTACACCGAAAATATAATTCTTAAGTATCACTATCGATCATATTTATTTCATACATTTTTTTTATTTTAATTGGTAATGTCTAAGAGAGAGAGTATGTCATAAATACATTTATTTTGTAACAAAATCTTTTTATTTCACGATAGAGAATAATATTATGTACTAATTAAATAATTAATTTTAAATATATACATATTTTGTAATGTTATAATATTTAATACATTTAAATGCAATTAAAAATATTGTTAATTTTAATTAGATATTTTAAAGTATGCTTTGATTAAAAATATGCATTTTATAAACTTAATAGTTCTCAAATTTGATGGAGACTGATATCAAAGAAAAAACATGTTTTTCTAATTAGTGTTTAGACATTTTATTTAAGAATTTGTTAATTGAATATGTAAATAATTGTACCAATTATTTTATTTTATATAGTACATATTAAAAAACAGCTGATATTATTAATGCACATAGTAATAATTGGTACTAATATCTTGAGGTAAAACTCATTTAATACTGTAAAATGTAAGTTATTGCCAACAATAAATATAATGTAAATTTAAATAAAGCTACAAATTTGTCATTATAAGTCATAAGACATAACTACTTGTTTAAAGTTGTTGATATCTACAGTTTGTTCCAAGCAGCAACATATTGCCATTTAAATCCCTGGTACAAATTTTCAACCGATTATGTTCATAGATATTATGTTTCGAACCACAGTAACATGGTAATTCTTGTTCATTATTAAAATTAGTTGTTAGTTTTTGTTTATTTAAATTCTGTATAAAAAAAAAAAACTCTAAACTAAGAGTTTACATATGAAAAAAAACGTGTTTGAATTTTACGTACAATATCTATTGTTTTACTCTTCGAGTTGTCACGTTTTACGAGTGTTGATGTTAGATGGTTATAATTCTTGTCACTGCAAATTCTTCTATTTTCAGCCAACAATTCTGAATATTTGAAATTTTCATTGAATTCATCTTTATTCCGCAATGGATAAGCCATATGAGCGTATTTTTCACTCTATTTTAATGACAATGCACTAAATATATTGGTTTTTAATAAACCTATTTCTTCATAGAGACATTCGTAGTAAAATAATGTCATCAGCCCAATAAAAGCTATTAATATTTTGCACACCTAGATCAAAACTGTAACAACTCAAGAAGTGGGTATTTTTAGTTATTGGTATTTTCGTATTCTACAAACAAAGTTGCATGAGCCAACAAAACAAATCAATGCTAGTATGAATTTATCTACATTTTTAATGAAGAATAATTTGCTGAAAATTTTAAAATAATAAACTTAAGTTGTATGAGTTTTTAATATAAGAAGGCAGGTGGAGTGGGGTTAACGAACGCACAAAATAAGAACTCTAAAGGTAATTAACCAAAACTGGTTATTGACCAGTCAACATTTTCAACAAATTATTTTTAATAAAAAGTTAAATAAATGTATTCGTTATGTACCATATAAGTTTCAAAAGTTGATAGAGCTCTGGAAAATACTAAAAAATGTAAACAATTAGTAATATTACAATATTGTTTAATTACATAAACGAAAAGGTTTCCAAAAAGTAAAACTACCAAATTGCAATTGTTTTAAGATAAAATGAGTGTTAATGAACCACCATGTATGAGACAATTAATTGAATTAAAACACTTTTTTTATAGGGCAATTCGCAAAGTTTAGATTTATACGTTAAGTAGTTTCGTTACCACAAGTATTATTAAGAAAAAATGGCGGGGCAATATTTCAATCATGTGTCATTATTCAAATAACCCAAGTAAAGTAAGTTTATACCAAAAATATTAAATATTTACGGGTTTTTTCGTGTCTATTTTGAAGAAAAACAAAAGTTATGACATCGACGATTTTCGCACCATTGATAATATTATTATATGAAATATGAATTATCTCACTCTGTAGTCAAAGTGGCTATCGAAATCTCCCACACATTCTTCGCTGCTGTATTGATAAAGTTTTAAACACTTCCGAACCGTATCTAACATGTTATCAGACTCAACAGTAGGGTGTTCTGCTACAACTGTACCCTTTTTGAAAAAAGTTTTGACAGGCAACATGCGGTCTTGTTGCACTCTCTGTGCAATATCTGCATCTACAGCCAATTCTAGTACTTCCTGTAGTCGTTTGTTGGATGTTTCACTGAGCAGACGGTCTGCCAGTGGCCCTGGTCTCATACCCGTTATAAATTTGTCCTTTACGGCGTCATCATCCGAATCAAAATGACATTTATCTGCTGTTGCCCGAACTCTTCGGAACCATTCGTAAACCGTTTCAGCTTCAGATTGTCTCATATCATAAAAATGAGCTCTTACATGAAAATCTGGTGCCATTTCTCGTGAACTACCACCAATAGAATATTCCATAATACTCTTTTTTTTTATTATTATTTGAGAATCGGTAAAGTCCACCAAAAATGCACTCGCGAGGTGATATATAATAATATTAGTCTCCACAGTAACAGAAAATTCCGTAGTCAATATATATATTATGTATATAGCTAATTGCTACGACGTAAATATTATTGTACATTTAGATCATTTGACCCACCATTGTCACCCATGGGTGAACAAACGTCTATTGTTATAATAGCTTAAATGTATTTAGAGAATGTCGAGTGAACCTAAAAAATAATGGTAGGTATGGGATGCAATATCAAACAAAAGACCCAATGCAGTGTAGAAAAAGCAGCACAATTCTTGCAATTTTCAAATTAAATATTTTTTTAGGGCTTACAAGTTACATACGTTAATTTTAATTTTTATCTGTAGAACGTGACATGTCATGCTATCCCTCGTCTGCCTCGAAAGCACAATGAGTATGTAATGACTTATGACCCTCTTCGCCCCTTCAGCAGTCTTTTATACTTAGCGCATACCATTCAAAGTTATGTAACGTTATTTTTAAATGTATGCATAGAATGGACAGTATAAAGCCAATCCCGGCATTAAAGATACATAATATCAGACAGTCATTAACTTAAAATTTAGATATATTTTGAATATCATAATTTAAATATTTATTTGATATTTCCCGCCATCGGTTGAGATTTCTTCTACCAACTATATACAAGTACAATTGTGGTGCTAACTTTAAAGCTGGTCACACTGATTTTGTGATGTTTATTGATAAGAAAATATTTGTGATAGCACTACGAACTGAGTTTCGACACATTTTCATGTGTAATTAGACAATTGGGTTTGAAGCAATTCTTTTGCATAAAGATTTTTCTACCTAGCTCCTACTTACAAGGTGGTAAGTATTTATATATTAGTTACTTGTATTTTAGAAAATGCAGAGCAACTATCATTGTTTTAATATCATGACATTGTTTCTTTTAACTATTCAGAGAAGAATTTCTATAACTGTAGACGTGTGTATGTGAGTGTTATTCTGGGGTAGCATGTGTAGTTCGTGTACTTTTTACTAACAAATCATTTATTTATGTGTAATTCAAAGTTAAGTTTACTCAAATTATGTTAGCCAAGTATAAGAACTTAATTAAAATATTAAAAATTAGCGAAACCTGAATGTACACGTTTTGGTATTTTGAGGTTATGTTATTAAAATTTTTTACTTTGATATTTTAGACAAGTTCAATATGCAAATTTTCGTAAAAACCCTTACGGGTAAGACTATTACCCTAGAAGTTGAATCTTCGGATTCAATTGAAAATGTTAAAGCAAAAATTCAAGATAAAGAGGGGATCCCACCTGACCAACAACGTTTGATTTTTGCTGGCAAGCAGCTTGAAGATGGACGTACACTTTCAGACTACAACATTCAAAAAGGTATGCATTATTTACTGAGAATTATTATTAAATATTTCCAAAAAAAAAAATGATAGTTCCTGCTTAAACGATAAATGTTATATTTAATTTCTGGGTAATTAACGAACATATTATGTAAATTTGTTTTTTATTAATTTGTATACCCTCTTTCTCATTTATCAAAACTATAACATGAAACGAAAATAGAAATACATTAAGAAATTATTGATACTTGAATGGGATATGGTATTTACACTATTTACATATTTTTCAGTTACTCCCACTTGAACAGATTGACTTGTCTGCCAACGTATCAGAACACTCGCACGTTCCATCTTTAGGGCTGTAGTTTCATGTTGCTCGTACCGTTTTTGCTTGTATAGTCTACAGGCAAACACGGTATGAGCAATATTAAACCCTGAAGATGGAACGTGCAAGTGTTCCAATACGTTAACAGACAAGTCAATCTGTTCAAGTGGGAGTAACCGAAAAATATGGAAATAGAAATAAAATTACTATACATTGTATGTTATAATATTGTATAACATTATATTAATACTTGTTAAACATGATAATATCAAAAAATGAGACAATGTATAGTTAATACTATTATATAATTTTTGATTGATTTACAATAAAAAATTAATCATAATTTTTTTTTTAGAATCAACATTGCATTTGGTATTGCGTCTCCGAGGTGGTGTCATTGAACCTACCTTACGTTTGTTGGCTCAAAAGTACAATTGTGACAAGATGATCTGTCGTAAATGTTATGCACGTCTTCATCCGAGAGCAACTAATTGCCGTAAAAAGAAATGCGGACATACCAACAATTTGCGCCCAAAAAAGAAGTTGAAGTAAATGTTTTTCCTTATATACTGGGGAAAATTACACACTTCCTTGGTCTTACATTTTTTTCATTCAAATGTTGATATTTTATGAATAAAAAGTAACAACAAAGAAACTCGAGTATTTTTATTAAAAATAAAATATACCTTATTTATTTTTTATGTATCCATAAACTCATTGTTTCTTACTCCAAGAAAAATCTAATATTTTGCAATTGTTCTAAACTTCAATTGCAAACATGATAAGAAGGGTGCCAAAAAAAAAGACTGTCTACATGTATACATTTTTTGGCTAATAATTTATTTTCTTCAACATTTTTGTAGTTTTATATTATATTTTTAAGTACTATAAGTATTAACTATACTTGCTTATCTATCCGATTGTCAAAAAAACTAAATTTTTCTGAATTTTAAAAAATTGTTTATTTTTTGTAAAAACAAATAGTTTTTTTAAAGAATATTTTTGTTTAATGTTTGTAGACTGTTATTATTTATTAAAAAAAAAAACTCTAATTATGAACATTATTAATTAGGAGGTACCTACGTTAAATAAAAAGGTAATTTCTATGCCTTCTACTTGGTCAATGAGTCGGAGCAAAACACATATTATAAAAATTAAAGTTAAAAGATGATATATTAAAGGAATGGCATTTGTTTTATGAAACATTCATTATTTGACTTAATTACAGTAACGCAGAACAAGTATAAATCGAGTGCGGGGAAAATTCTTAGAACTTTTATGGGTGGGTAGGTGGTAGATAAGATATTATTATAATTTGTATAGCATTTCAGTCATTTTTGCAAAAATAAAAGTATAATTGATAATTATACAATTTTTTTGAAGTAAGTGGTTGTAAACTATATTATTTCCTTGGAAGTTATAGCATGAGGTTCAGCGCCATTGTCTTAATATGTAACGTTAAAAAAAGGAATTTTACTTTTTTTTTTTAATGGTAATAACTTAATTCTAGAAAATATACTTTAAAAACCAAATATGATATTCACTCTAAAAAGTTATCCTTTTTTTATTTAACCTTTTACCTTATTTTATAATAGGTGTTTTTACCGTAAATCCTTCACTCAACAAAATCTTGCAATTTGTATGCTAGAAAATTAGGTGTATAACATTTTATTTAACTCAAATTAAATCTGAATATCCAGATAATATGAATTATAAATTTTAGTTCAATCTCTATTATGAATAGATTTTGTCGCTGTATTTTAAAAAAAAATCACAAACTTGATTTCAATTTTAGATAACAAAAATAAGAACTATATTTAAAATGTAGAAGGAAACTTGTGTAAAAGTAAATTGGCAACTTTTTTTTAATACCTTAACAAGTATGAAGTATCAAACTCTTCAGTTCTTGTTCAAGAGTAAAATAAGCATAGTTTATATTGATGACTATCAAAGGACATTTAGGCATTTGGCTCAAAGCAAGTTATTATCATTCGAATTCAACCAGTCATAACATGACAAATAAGTATATTCGTAAAAATTTTGTTTCTTAGTTTTTAATTTTTTTATGGTATAATTATTAATTTTAAACATATGTGGTTTATATAACAAATCATCAGTAGAAAAAGAGGAATAAACTAGCTCTTACTACAACTTCCAGGGAAATAATATAGTTTACACCCACTTACTCCAAAAAAATTGTATAATTATACTTTTAATTTTGCAAAAATGACTGAATTGCTATACAAATTATAATAATATCTTATCTACCACCTACCCGCCTATAAAAGTTCTAAGAATTTTCCCAGCACTTGATTTATACTTGTTCTGCGTCACTGTAATTAAGTCAAATAATGAATGTTTCATAAAACAAATGCCATTCCTTTAATATATCATCTTTTAACTTTAATTTTCATAATATATGTTTTGCTCTAGCTTCTAAGACTCATTGGCTAAGTAAAAAGCATAGAAATTACCTTTTTATTTCCTAATTAATAATGTTAATAATTGGAGTTTTTTTTTAAATAAAAAATTACAGTCTACACTCTACAAAGTGTAAACAAAAATATTCTTTAAAAAAACTATTTGGTTTTACAAAAAAAAGACATTATTTAAAATTAAGAAAAATTTAGTTTTTTGGACAATCGGATAGTTAGGCAAGTTTAGTTAATGTACTTATAGTACTTAAAAATATCACATATAACTACAAAAATTTAAAGAAAATGAATTCTTAACCAAAAACTGTATAAATAAAAAAAAATTGTTGAAATGCGCCAATCCAATCTGGAAAACGGAAAACAAATTGTAACAATAAGTCATTTTTTTTGTACAGCAGATAATTTTTGACATTTTCATGTCTTGGGGTTAAGCTCTGGCACATAACCCTGGCAAATATCCGAAAAAAGCGTTACCAAAAGAGCGTAACGAAAAAAGCGAAAGGGTTGGGGACGGGAGATAGGGGTGGAATAGGGGGTAGGAGATAAGGGTGAGATTTAGCCGGTAAATAACCGAAAAAAAGCGTTACGCTGTTACGCGCCGCAATGTAACAAAAACTACGAAGCAACGACGAAAGACAATTATTGGAATGACCATTTCGGATCTATTTCGAATGTTAATCTGTTACGCTGTTATCTGATTTGAGATAAGAGATATGTTGTACGTTCAACGTTCAAATTAGAACTAAATAATGAATTCAAAACAGTTTAAGAGCCCAATTTCTCTATGAATTGTTTTAAGCTAGCAATAAACACTACAATTTTAGCTAGAAACTTGACGTTTTATTATACTAGCTTGTTACCGCTCGTTAATTTACTATATCATTATCTATAATTCCACCACTACTCTAAATTTATTCGGTACTTCAACGAGACATGAAAATGATCTTTCGTGGTTGCAGACTCGGCTGAAAAACTGTCTTTTTATTTTAGATTTCATGAATCATACTTGTTTTTACTTATTACCTAATCATTTTTGTTCTAAGGCGTACGTATTACAAAGGAGTATCTACTTTTTTAAAAAAAATAATAAATTTATAAAAGTGGAATAACTAATAAGCGAGTAAATATAACTTTCGATTTTTAGTGTTGTCAACACTATATGTTGAATAATATTAAATAAAATATTTAGGTAATTTTAGTTAATGGTATAATTTGGATTATATGGTGTTGTGTATTTATGTATTTTGCATCATTCTTAGTTCATTTTAACTGTTAACTATTAAGTGTTTAGCTATAAAAAATAAATATTCGTTTATCGTAAGCATTTTACTTCGAAAATATACTGCCATTAAAATATGACAAAATCGTCAATTTTCGCCACCAGCCCCTGTGGCCTAATGGATAAGGCATCGGTCTCCTAAACCGGGGATTGTGGGTTCGAGTCCCACCAGGGGTACGGTGCAAACTTTTTGCATTTTTCTTAATGTTTTTATCCTTTTTATTTGAAAATGTTAGGCAATAGCCAATGGTCATCATATTGTATTTTAATATCCAAATGTTTAAAAGATCTACAACTTGTTTTATTTATATTCCAAATATTAATTGTTGTAATTATAGTATTCGTTTTTCCCAACATTTTTTACTAAAGAATTCGGTCACAAATTAAATTAAGTATAAATATATTATTTGCCTTTTTTCCTTCCATTCCTTAAATTAAAATAATATACTGGTTTATCCCTTTTAAAATAAAAATGTTTAATTTATTGCTGTAATATATTTTACCAATTCCGAAACAATGTGAAGAAAATTATTGTAATCTAAATTATAAATTACCTAAGTATAATAAATATACCCAATAGAATGTAATTTTATATAGAATAAAATATAATTAAACAACTGATTTGGGTTGGTTTTCTTGAAAACACAAGGTCGGCTACAAAGATTTGTAGCCGACCCAAAACAAATGTTTTAATAAGTACACGAGGACGTTAAGTTTTGTCCGACACAAAAATTCATATTAATAACTAGCAAGTTCAAAAGAATAACAACCGCTTACAAGTTATAGTCTAAATGGTTATTACATTAATTTACAATTGATAAACATTTAACATAATGAAATTGTTATTAAAAATAATTTTCTCCTAAAAGTAAATACCCAAGATCAAATTAAAAAAAAGCTAAAAAACTTTTTAGCTTCGCATTGAAAACTAATAAAAACTTCTCACATTTACATACTAAAATTTTTGGATAACATGGACGTGTTTCATAAGCAATAAAACTGAAAATTGTAAAAAAAAATTGTTGGAAAAAAATTGTTTTTATTTTTGTACACTCAAAATCACTTTATTACATAAAAATATCTTTTGTTCATTTATAGTCTGTAAAATGATAAATATTTAAAAATTCTCTTACATTCAATAAGAAGTAAGATTTACGTAGAATAACTTTGTAGATGAGTTTACAAGTTTGACAACTTAATTTAACTATATATTTAGACAGTTAAAGTTCTAAAATTGAATCTAGAAGTGCTTGTTTGTACTTGAATTTTAAAAGTAGAATTCAATAAAAAGTTAATTAACATTAAAAAAGAAATAAAACTAAAAAAAGTTAATTTAAGTAAAACTACAAAAAAACACAAAGTATTTAAAGATTAATTTATTTGAGGAACTGTATCATAAAAAATATTGAAATACTCAACTACTTAAGTTTACATAAATATTTAATACAAATGTTAAAATATTTTTAATAATACTGATAACAAGGTTTATATTATATTAATACTGTTTATAAGTTTTAAAATACATAAATTAGTATGTATATTGTTTAATGATAGATGACAAAAAAAAAATAGTTGTTAAGCCAGCTTAAAGACTGTTTACATTGTTTTTTTAATAAAATAAACCTTTTGTATTAACTTAAAAGTATTTTTTAAATAGTTAGAAATTGTTTAATTTATATTTAATAATGTTACACTTACATTATCTTACACATTAACATTGAATCTAAGAACTAAATTTTTATATTTTGTTTAGACATCTCTCTTATTCGCTACATAATCATTTAACATGAGAAATAGTTTTTGTGATGAATTCTTGTATGTCTACATAAGTTTGAGGTGGAACTGTAACTTCTCCCACACAACTTACACATACTTTTAGAAATCTTTGGTTTAATCTTCCATTTTTGCGTATTAGCGTGAAACTTTTTATAGTGCACTTGTAAATACGTTGTTGAACTAAAACGAATACTACAATAGGAACATTGGTATGGTTTTCCTAACGGATCACTGTCTGATTTGGTCAATACTAGTTTTAGTTTTAAAGGCTTGGGTTTAGTTTCTTTATTTGTCGGCAGCTGACTCAATAATGTTTGTACATTATTTTGTTTCTCAGTGTGATGCGTTAATAAATGATTTTTATAATTCGCCATTAAAAAGAATACTTTGTTACAAATTTTGCAAACATTTTTTTTTAAATGCATTCTGCGGTGAACTTTTAAAGCTTTACTTGTATAATAGATTTTATGACAAAATTCACACACATGTTTTAAACTATTATTCAATGTAATACTGTTTTCAGTTTTTATTTTCTTAACCATTCCTTCAATTTGTTTATAGTTTTTCTTGATACTTTTAACATTTTTATATTTAATTTGTGTATTGTGTGTCGTTAAATGAGCATTTAATAAATTAAGTTTAAGAAAAGACTGTCCACAAATATTGCAATCGTACGACCAATTGTTAACGTTAGGACTGAAATTTTGTTGAGGACATTTATTTTTATAGTTAAATTTCACGCTATGTATTTTCAAATGACCGTTTAATGACTGACATTTTAAAAAAGATTTCCCACAAAGGTGACAACTATAAGACATATTGCCAACATTCTGGCCGATTGTTTTGAATTTTGATTTTTTATTGTGCACTTTTAAATGACTATTCAATGACTTAAGTGTAAAAAATAATTTGCCACATATCTCACATCGGCAAGACCGATTTTCAGCATTAGGACTAATTATACCTTGTGTTCTATTTTTATAAACAACTTTTGTACTGTGAGTCTTTAAATGTCCATTTAGGGATTTTAGTCTTAAAAACAATTTACCACAAACCTTACATTTATAAGAAACGTTAACGCCATCAGGGGCAATTACTATTTGTTTTTTTTTATCAATATGTAGATTTATACAACTATTATTTCTGTGGTGCAACAATTCAATCTTAGACATAGACACAAATAAACAATCGGGGCAAGTGAACGGTTTTTTGTCAATTTTTTGCCCACTCGTGCGGATACACATATGTATTTTCGAATCAACTTCTGCAGAAGTTTTAGTTGTAGCTCGAAGTGATTTATAATGCTGATTATCTGTTTGTCTTTCTAATAAAATTAGGTCCGAAGCTAATTGCATTTTCAAAGCAAAGTTTGTAGGGCCAATTACGATCCTATTACTATCACGGTGGCTGGACATAATATGCGAATTCAAATGAGCAGAGAGAATATACTTTTCGTTACATAGCGGACAAGCATAAGGTTTGTCAACGTGTGATATTATTTTATGAGCTATTAAATCATAATGGTCGTCGCATGTTTTATAACATAGATTACACTTCAGGTTGCTTTTTGAATAATCAGAACTCGATTCAGTCTCAATGAGTTTACTGTTAGTAGAGGAGTCATCTTCTGTGTCAATGAATTCCTGTTTGACTTCGACTATGTCAATGACTTCAGTTTTGAGTTCCGTTTTTATATTAACGTTATTGTACTGATACGATAGTGTTTGCAACGATGACTCTTCTAAAGAATTTCTAAACAAAAACAAATATATAATATTAGATAAAATTTAAATGAACAATTTTAAAACAAAATAGCTATAAAAGCACTACAGTTGCTTGTTGTGGCACATAAGAGAGATAATCAATTTAATTATGGGAAATTAATTAGCTGTAGGCTCTTTAACCTTCAACCACTCATGCGGGCGGCAACTTGGATGCCCTTTTTAATTTTTGAGAATACTCTTTTTCAGAGTGCCAAGCGAGCGGTAGGGTAGCAGGGGCATGTAATCACTAGTTACACATTAAACTCTGTGGGGCCAGTACAACAGCCAAATTGCCGCCCTAGTGAGAGCGCAAACGAGAATTTATGCCCGTATGTTTTATACTTATGATATGTATGTGTAATCTGAAAAGGGAGGCATAAGAGGCTTGAGGGCATGTGTATATAGAAAATAAATGACCTTCCCACCACTCCATCGGCACTTTGAAGAAAAATTTAAAAGGACGGCCAATTTGCCACCCGCGCAAAGGGGTTGAAGATTAAGATTTATTTTTATTTTTTTAGTAAATATTTTTGGTTAACATTTTTTTGCAATGTATTGTTAAGAGTTAATAGGTCCTAATTATTTCGAAACATGCATGTTAAATGAAAAAAACTCATGAAAATGATAAAAGATCATAGACGGCCAAATTGCCGCTGTACCGAGCAGTAGTGTTACTTTAGAAGGCGTGAGCGGATGTAGGTTAAATAAAATAGTGTGATTTTCGAAATGGCTAGCCTCAGATTTGATAATGTTGATATGTTAAATAATAATTAATTTCTCTATTCTAGTCTCTTAAAAATAATTTCGAACATTTACAAAATTTGTATTTGCAAGTTAAGGCGCTTAAAAATTAAAGTAATTTAATAGCAACTGAAATCAACCCAAGTAAATGAAACCAATCTTATTTTAAAAACTCAAAATCAATTTAATAACAAAATTATATTTTTGCACGCTAACAAAAAAAATGTTTAGTACTTTTTGTTGATTAAGGCTTATGATAGTTTTAATGATTTTCAAATGAAAGTGTAAAAAATAATAAATTTTATCATAAGTAAAATATATATTTTGTTCCTTGAATATAAAAAGAAAAGTTGTCATTTTTAGCAAAAATGAGTCAGTAATTCTACACATCGACACCCATTACCATTGGTAATATGTTTCAATTGAATTGTGAAAAAATAGTACTTATATTTGACCACAAAAACTATTATTAGTTTTTCAATTCAAAATGTATTAAAAAAAAGAATAAGTTTTGTTTTTTTGTCTTAAAAGTAATATATTTGCACATTGAATGACAAAACAATGTATGTTTCATTCTTTGCTTAGTAGTACCTAAAAATACAAATCAATGGCATAAACAAAAAATGACCCCTTTTTTGAGTTTACAGTACACATTTGAAATTTCAGCTTCCAGTTATGCAAAACATTATATTATATACTGTGAAACATGAATAGAACAATAAAATGAAGTTGTGTTTGTTTGTTTATAGAGCTAAAGTTGGAAATCAATAAATGTATGTAAGTTATAAGAAAGTGTTTGAGGTAATCAAATAACTTGTAGTAAGATTTAATTTTTAAAAATGTAAAGTTAAATTTAAGGTTGAAATTTCTTTAAATTATCCTTTTGATATATATAGTTTATTATTGTCTATTGGCGACAATAATGAAAATTAAGTTAACGTTTTTCTTGATAATAAATCTGTGCATACAAAGTATTGTTCATCGACTTACTCGTCTCTATCAACATTATAATCTTCCAAAGTATGGTCACTTTGAGGTTCACGCTTGATAAAAATTGATTCTTGACATACTTCTCCGTGATTTTGCATTATTGGACTAGGTACTATAATCAATAATATATTTTATTAAAATTGAAATAAACTAAAATAAATAATATAAACTTACTATAATTATTGGAACACAAATGATCTGTTACTTTTGGCAACTTTAGGAACCATAGACGTACTTAATAATAGATTTGACTTTTGACTAGACATAAATGGACCACTAAACTGACAGCATACATCAATTCAAGCGACTATGACGCCTAGAACGAAACTTCAATTTTATTAAGGGTTTTACATAGTATGTGTATAATAGTACATACAATAGTACATGACCCATTTTTGCAGCAATAATGAGCAGTCTGCAGATCATGAAAACGCAAAAAAAATACCGAAAAATGGGACAACACATCTTTTTGAAATTGAATATTTATAAGTTAAATTAATTCATAAATACCTCGAAATCTTTAGTAGTTAACGCCATAAGTGAATCCTGATTGATTACGATCAATAGTGATCGCGTCGGATTTCGCATTCCCTCTATCAATATACCAATCAAAGGAAAAGTCATGGATATACATATAACACAACAAGTTATAATACAAATATTATCATAATCTATGAAAAAAGTATAATGAAGAAGGACAAAAAGTATAACACGTCTTTACAGACTTTGGAAAAAAAAATCTGTGGCATAAACAAAGTTACCTCCACGTTATCAGATAACTGATAAGAAAAATCGGTACTTCACGTTTTCGGAGTAAGGACCAGAGGGCGATAACTGTATTGCTTCGTAGAAAATTATATTTTTTATTTTAATATAAGCCTAACGGTGGACGTTGGTCAGATAATCATTGCAATTACCGTGATTATTTATAGTATTTGTTCGTAGGCAAAATATTTTTTGTAAGGAATTCCCTAATGTATACATATTATTTGAAGGTGTTGGTGTGTTACGCGGTTCACAGTTACGCCATAGATTAAAATATATACCTACTATATACTATATACTGTGTTTAATCTATTGCAACACGAAAAATAACGACTAGTAAAGCATTGAATTCAGTTGACATATCAATAAATAAGAAAGTGCCATAATGAAGATTTTATATTATCGAAATTTTGGAATCTAGACAGAAAGAATCAATGTTCAGGATTGTACTGATGTGATAATCTCTAAATAGTCTCTACCCTTTATAGGGTAACCGGTAAAGTCTTATGATATTTTTTTGGTTTGTCAACATTTCTTGGTAGTACAACTAGTACAATGTCTAAATTATAATCCATACAAATTTGGAGCTAATTTAACTATTTAAAAAAAATGTGATTTTGAATATTATTTAATAATAAAAAAGTCAAATTTACCAATTAACCCTTTCGTCACTGACATCCTCGTACAAGGATTTAACTTTAAAAACCGAATAAAATATTAACTACGTAGTATCATTTTCAAAAATGTCTTTAAACTCGAGTTCTAGTTTAGATTAATGATAAAAAAACCGACACAGCTATATTGATAAATGATAATCAATATCAGTTACAATCAATATCAATATCAATATCAATAGAATCAATATCAATTACAAAAAAAAATTCCAGAAACGGAAGGGCTAATATCAATGGTCAATGTATCATGGGTCAATTACAGAGTAATAGCTTATATTATTATACTATTCGCTGTTAGATATTTGCTATAAATTTGGCCAAACAAAACGTTGAGAGAAAATAAATGTTTATAAATATATATATATGGGAAGTGTAGATTACATTTTTGTTTTAATGCGTGTGATCTAAAAACTAATGAAATTATGAATTTGAAAAGGTCTAACATATTCTTAGGCTATTCCAAGTTTAAATACTAAAATCTCTATAATTGTAATACAAGTTGTGTTATAAAAACAATACGAAGAATGAGTGGCTACATATATAGTATTAAAATAAAAAGTATGAATGATGACGTTAGCATTGGCATTGAAAGAATTATTTATATTAATTATAAATTGCCATAATAGTATTTTAGGATACATAAAACATAAAAAATAAGATCTACTGTAAGAACGTTGTTAGCAATCATATTATTGAACAAAAGCTAATAAAGCATTATCGAGGTTTGAAGTTTGGGTTCATTTAGTAATATTTCATAATATATTATATCCAAGGAAACAAATAAAAATGACAAGTATGTATAGTTAATTTAGAAAAAACGAATATTTTATACCGCTAAATAACACAGTTTTAATGGTCACACGACGCATTTTACGGAAGTGAGTCCAAAAATGAAATATATTTCTGGGTTTTTTGCAAAAAAATTGTTTGGCCTATAACACTTTATTAAATTAAGATATAGACAATTTTTTTTTTTAATTTTAAAAGTTGTAAGTTTCAATGGCAATGTATAAATAAATATATAAAATAACTAAAAAAATTGTTTACATATTTATTCCAGGTGAACATGCAGTATCAACTAATAGGAGCTCAATTGCTGCAGCTAAAGTGAATAAACAGCTTTTAGATTTGTACTCCCCCCCACATTCAAATTAACTCAAAAACATATGAATTAAGAGGAGTTATATATTTCCAGAAGGGCAAATCTGCATTAAGAAATCCTGTAGGACACTTTAATACGTACGTCAGATTGAAAATTAGAAATCAAAATATGGTATTACGCATTGGCTATATCTAAACAAAATGATAAATACCTTAAATATTGTACGTAGTAAATTAGTAGGTATAATCATAAGCGTGCGCGGACATAAGATTCATACAAAAATTAGTATACAAATAAATTCAATTAAGAAAAAGTATAAAAATAAATAATATCATTATTTTTGTATTGAATTTTTTTGTCGGACGATTACGTTTATTTGTATGGGAGTAATGAAAATTGTTTTTTTTTTTATAAAAGCTTATTATTTTGTATTAAAAATGTTGTGCTTTATTTGGAAGATATACATCAATAATGGTTACAAGATAATAAATTTATGTTTTTTTGGAATAAAATTCTTAAGTTAACTTTATTAATATTTACAATATGTATTTATAAATTATAATTTGTGAACAAAATTTGAACTTTAAATTAGCTTAATTGCTCTGAAATAATTATTTATTTAAAATTAATAAAATCTTTTTAATAGTAATAGTTAAGTATTCTTACGTATTGATGTATTGTTACGGCAGGATACTTGTTAGGTTGTAAGGTACTCGAAATAAATTTAGACCAAATATATTCATTATCCAAAAGCCAAAAAAGTGAATACCAATGTGGAAGTGAAAAACATGTACCAAATTAGTGATGTTCTTTTCTAGGAAATTAAACATTTCTAATTATTTTAGAATTATTGAGCTGTTTCTTATACTTTTGATAGTAAAGGGATTTCGTTAGATCTTGATATTATATTAATATATGTCAGGTGCAGTCTACTGCGTTGTACAATTTAACGAACTACGCAGTATAAGACTTAACAATAGTGGCAGGTGTGAATTGTAAAAATTCTTCGGAGATCTCTTATATTGTTGGTAAGACGGATTTGTTGTAAAATATTTACTTTAAAGCGAATATTTTATATTAGTTATACATAATATATGTATATAGAAGTATTGTATTGTGTTGCATACATTTATCCAAAACAAAACCTATAATCTAGTATGATTTTTTTTTGTAGAAATACAGGAAAAGCTTTTGAAAAAATATATATGAATTATGTAAACAGAAGTTGCACATATGTCTCTATGTTAAACAAAGTGTATTTGATTGCTGGGGAGTGTCAATGCAGCTGACGTTTAATAATAAATCATATATAGGTTAAGGTATCACTAAAAAAACAAATTTAATTTTCTCTTTTGTGTTTGTTTTTGACCGTAAATAATGTTCATGTGCAGATAACTATAGCACTGTACATGTGTTTCGCATTTTAAAACAAAATTTTAATCCAATATAATTAGTTGAGATGTACGTTGAACAAACCGCACGTTCTGTAATCGATCATGATTCGTGGCATTAATCATTATTATCGTGTGAAAATTACTGTACAACCGATTTAATCAGGCTAATATTATATAATAAAACGTCATTTTAGATATAACTTGAGTTTTAATAATTATAGCTAATTAGTCTCACTGGCATTTTTAATCTTCAACGCTTTTTTCTTTAATTGATTAGAATTGATATGACATTATTCTACAAACCACGCATGCAAACGATTAACAAAACACACCGAACAGTTGCAGGTCATCTAAGCTTGTTTTTATTGTTAATTATAATTTATTGGCCTTGCTCAATGTCGACTACGAAAAACAAGCGTGCATTTAAATTTAATGATTATTGCAGTGCGTATGTAAGCCGTTTTATTGTATGGAGTTGGAAATTAATGAACAGCCCGGTCGCTATAAGAAATTATAACTAAATAAATAGTGATAATAGCTGTTATTGTTATGAGTTATCCCGCCCGAATCATATCGAACTTAGTGGTTATTATGAGAGACAATGTGAACAAAATTGTTTGCATACAATTAATTATTTAAACGTAATGCAAACTATTTTATTGGAACGATTAGCGGTAAACGATTAACGGGAAGATACATTAAACAGCATTGACCCGCATAATAACCTCAAATAAATTGGTTTAAAATTTACCGATAGGCGATAACTTTTTCTCGAAATGACTCATATTGTAAAATAACATATATTATTATTATAAATAATAATTGTTGACTATTTCCAAACATCCAACATTACTCTTGAAAATAATTTTTATAAATATTAAAAAACATTAAAACATAAATTTTTCTAAATTTGAAAAATACGATAATTGAATAATTATGAATAAATGCATGGATTATGAAATCCATTTGAAGTTTGTAAAATAAATTTAAAACTAAATCACCAAAATTCTTTCAGACTGAATCATCAAATTATTGTTTGTTTTAATATTTTATCGAGTAACAAAATCACTAGTTCAATGGTAAACCAAAATAGAAATGTTCTTTTAAAAGTCAAAACCGTTTTGGCAACAGTCCAACATTTTTTATCTTTTATGATGGCAGTTAAAATAAACTAGTCAGCACATAAACAATGAATGTGATTTGTATCATGTCTTTGTACTTCTAAACTTATTACTCATAATATTAATCATTATATAGGAAACAAGTTTTAAAACATATACAAATCAGTCATCTTATAAAATACAAACAATATATTTTGGGTAATTTAGAGTTTAAAGGTAATCTTTAAATTATCATTGGCGTTCAATTGAAGTTTAAATCAAAAAATAATTTATTATTTAAATAAATAGAAAAATTTGTTTTTGCCCTGCTCTAGGAATTTTAGTTTTTAAGTATACGAGAAAAAACATTTTTTCCCATTTCCGGTAATTAGGTATTTGTATTACTAAAGAATATTATAACGAGTGATTTATTTTGTATGGACATTTTATAATAACAAATCCACAATTTTGTTTTATTGATACTTAACATACATAATATTAATCAAATATTATATGTACAATTTTATCAAATATAAGCGACTCTTCTTAGCAAGCTCAACGCCCATTATATCCTTAATTTAATGATCGTGTAATTTTTCATGTTTTTATTAATAGATTGTTATTGTATTATGAAAAATAAATGTAGTTCAAATTAAAAAGGCTATACTGATCATATTCAAATTTGCTATCTTTGTTTATGACCCATCTATTACGCAAATTTAAATAATACAAATAGCTGTTGATCTATTAAGAGATATTTTGATTTTTTAAATCAAGAACATAGATATTGAATGTGGAACAAAAACTTAAACCTTCGCAGCTGCACAACCAAGTTATTAGAAAACTGCATACTTGTTCTTACCTTCAAAATAATTGCGGCTATAGATACAAGATGTAAATATTTATTTTCTTTAAAATTTTAAGCAATAATGAAATACAAGTATTGTATTATGCATTTACTTACTTTACTATCTGATCAACGACATTTTTAGATAATATTACTGAATCATCTTACTAATTTTAAGTACCTGCTCGGTACACTATATAATCGTTAACACTATGTACAAACCATACTACATAGTACATACACAAAAATAATTATCACAAAAATTGTGGCACTGAGTTTATAAATGGCACGTGTATGATAAACAGAGATGAGACATAATAAGTTTATTGAGACGAATTTGTCTAATGATGAACAATAAGTTGTGTAATTACCACAATAGGTTAACCCTGTGTAGCATTTAATATATGTGTTAGCATTATATTGGCTTGCTTTGTCTTGAAGAAACCTTTATTTTGATTATGTAAGTCCTGTTTACTTTTATTATTTTATTATATCTTTTTATAGCCCTTCGGTGCTAAAAGCGAGATCTATGTCAATTACCAATTCAATAAAGTAGTTCATATACTAAGTGTTTAAGTTTTTATTGGCCAACTTGTCAGAAAAAGAAGTGCCGAGTTAATGATTTATGTTATTAGCCATAAGGAAGCCTCGTGATACTTAATTGTTTCCCAATAATTGATTGATACGTTTAATAACATCCACCAACTGTTGATAAAAGTCAAATTAAAGTCCCTAGTAAAATAATGTGTCATGACAGTTCACACTATTCGCAAATTTGTTTTTATCTGCCGATAAATTCATAAATTAATATTACTACTTTACTTTTAGAGACAAAAAAAATTATGTGTTCTCGTTAACTCATAAAATACTTTTTATAATGTATTTGACCATTACATTTAAAAAAAAATTATATTATCATAAAAACAATAATTTTTGTTTAATCAGGTAGCTGCACATTGTCGAGTGTTAAAAACAGTATCAATTTTTATTGTTAAAGCGGTAAAAAGAAAAGTTATTTAACGAAAGTCACCACAACTAACATATCGGACTTGAGTATAACAATACAAAATAGTTATGATCATTACCGTAATTATGGAGACATCGTTTTCGTTATAATTTGGTATTACGATAAAAAATTGTTTTGTTTTATGCTCTTAAATTAAACACAAATCTATCTTACAACTTTTGGGTTACAGTAATTTTATTTTATTATACAACAAAGGGTCATTGTATACGGTCAATAGATGTATCAATAATAAAAACTATTCTATGAACATGACTTAAATAAATTATAATGTTTCGTCAACTTATGTGTTAATGAAGATAAACAGTTGGTAATCAATCGTCTCACTCTGGTCTCCGTGTTTAGTTGAACATCTGGATATTCTTACTGACGAGCACGCTTGATATTGGTCTAATCGACGGATTGCAATTACAGCTGACTCAGTCAACTTATCGATAATCAAACAAGTTTGATATATTCTTTAACCATTTAATTTTGAATACATTTCATTTCGCAACATAAAAATATGGTGTATAAGTCTAAATCAAAATGTGTGTTTTAAGGTACTTTTTTAAATATTTTTGGACAGTGCTGAATAAAATTAGAAAAACCACTATATATTTAATATATAGTGTTTTATAATATATATATATATATATATATATATCATCATCATCATCATCATCATGTAGCTAACGGGCCATGAAGGCCCAACGCTGCCATCATGAGATGGTTTCTTGACGAATTCGCTTCCGGGACGGGTCGTCAATCCGTCGCCGGAGAGGGGGATGGCGGTTCCTTTTTACCGGACGATTGCTCGCCCAGCAAACGGAGCGCCTGTGACCGAGTGTCGAACCGGCGACAGTGAGCGCTAACACACTGCCGCCTTACCCACTCGGCCACTCCTCCTCCTTCTTTAGCTATTGACTATTGTATTAGCTGAGTACCTTGACCAACCAAAAACCATTTCCCCCAAAAGCGGTGGAAACTTTTATTTTACTTTTTCAATCGTTGTTTTAGGACTTGAGGTCTGAGAGTTAGACTAAAATAGGGCAACTACATCAACAATTTTCTCACAAAACTGTAAAACTTTTTTATAAAAGGAAAAAAATTATTCTTTGGCCGTAATAAATTTCCAGGTTTAAATATCAACCTGGACCATTCACACGTAAATATCCGTGTAAATGAATCAACAGTTAACAGCTTTTTAAAAAATATGTTAAATGTTATTGATTACCTTATTGGTAACAACGGCAAAGAATTAGGAAATACATACATACGATCAATCGTATCTATTTAATACTAAAATACAGCTTTAAACACATTATTGCATTTACAATTCGTTTATCGACATTTGAAAGTGGTTTCAGTTATAATAATTCTTGCAAATCTGTGACTATCCCGATCACAATAATCAATATGTTCCATCATTCCTCTAAGCCCCGGCTCCATTGTGTCTTTGTGTCAACAATTGATATATATATATATATATATTGATGGTCTATTCAAATCATAATTGATACACGTTGACTATTGACCATTTGCAAATCACATAATAATGCAATACTAAGGAAGCGAGATTTTTTCGTTTCATACAAATTATTATAGATTATTTATTGTCTTATGTTATGCTATTAAAAACGATATTCATTATAGCTGATCATAGCATTAAAAATATGTATGTATTTGTATAACTGCCATTTAAAGCTACTAATTTTGTTTTGGTAATTGGTTCGATAAATAGTGGAGATGTAGGTAGTGTTTTTACTAACTAATAAATATCAAATTTAATGCATCATAATATATTAGCGTATGTTAATAATTTCGAAGGATTTAGACTATAGACAATTGTGGGAAATAAATAATGTTAAATTTTAGCGTATTGTTTGTTGTATTGAAACATATCCAGGTTCGTAGTTTATCGGTGTCACGAGTCAAGGTTATAATATAAATATTATATAAAAATTAAAAGGTTATACATAAATATCAAAATACATTTTGTAATTTAGCATACCATAAATAATATAATATTATGTACAAATATGATTTATATAAGCTTATAAATAGAACCCATAAAAATAATTACATTAATTGGAACTAAAACGTTAAAATAAAATATATACCTAATCTAATGGTTTATTATTTTGTTACCAGCACACCTCAGCCATCTAAACGAGTTATGCCAACAGTAATCTCCTCTTATACATTACAGAATGGGTCATCGAGACAATGATTGGGATAATAATAAATTTAAACCGATAACACGTATAGTTGGAATGTTGTAGAATTTGTATGCAATTTACTTCTCTACGTGTCATGGTAAAATTGTTATACATGTTATTTGATTGGATTATCTGTAAAAGTACACCTCGCTTCTTCGTATTTAACTTAGAACTCTATATAGTTCGTTTTACGCTAGTAAATGCTGCGTTACCTCAAATTACGGTTAGAATACTCAATACACTCATAAGAATGATTGATTATTGAACACCGACCTTGATCATAATATTATATTATTATTATTAGTAGAACTGTTTTTATTTCATCATAGAAACCACTTTCGATTAGTGATGTACTAATACAATATTATATTAAATACCTGCTAAATGTTTTAATTTTTGGCTTTTTTGAAGAATTTTACAGACATTGCTCTACTGTCAACACATAATATTCTATATAAAGATGTCTGTTATCAGATGTCTTGTAATTTCTTTGTAAACAATTATTATTTATAAATCCTGATGGTTTATAACAATTTAACCTTCTTTATGCTGGTGAGTAATTGGTAAATTATCGTATGTTAACAAATAAGAAATATTATAATTATCGACAAGTGTTTATCTATCCTTAATCCTTGGATGAACCAAATCACGATCAAAAATCCTTCAGTACAGAAATTAGATTTAATCCTAAGTATTATTAATATATTTACAAGTTGTTTCTTCTGTAAATAGCTGTGAAGTGGTTTATGGTACAAAAAAAAAAAATTCCCGATATTAATAGTATTAACAATCGATTAAGTTAAACATTAATAATCTGCATATTATATTCTAAAAGGTTAGGGTCTGAGCAATGAAATGGTACAAACATTGTTAATATTTATATTGATTGTAACGTATAGAAGTGCGTGAGAAAGGTCATTTTGAAATTTCGATTACAAAGAGATGCCAAGCCAGCTGTAAACACAAATAATTGTAATCGTATCAGCGAACATATTTTGCAAATCGTCGATGGCCAAAAAACGAGCAATACCCGCCGTAAGCCCCGCCTGACCCGCACCGTTAGCGAAGGAAAAAATATCACAGTGACAAGCCGTGGTATATTTTTTTTTGTACTGTCCGGCAATCCCTCCCACCACTAAGTGCACCACAGCCGTTTGACCAGCATTATTACAATCCGAACAGTTGGCCATAGCCACCGCATTGACTTACACCGTCGTCTCCTGACGGCCGCGAATGTTAGCGCCAAATGTCGTTATTTTTCGACGAACAAATTATTTCGGATTGGTGATTTTCCGAAATTTTGGTTCCCTCGTGAGTTTTGTTTTTATTGCACTAAACGAATTTTACCTGCGAGTCATGATCCACGGAATTTTTAGGTTTAACATCTATTGATGACAAGAGAATATCACGAAATCGCAACTTTCGTTAGTATAGCGTTGTGCACGTTGAAAACATAATTGACGTTCGGTGTGCACACTCAAAAACAGAATGGCCATGTAAGTAATAAACGTGAATACAATTTGTGTAAGAAAAAATGTGGTTTTTGTCGAGGCGACGTTAACCGATGGTGACTTTTTTGCAGCCCGGAAATATGTAACGCCGAAAAAATGATAGGTTCCGAGTTACTGTACCTGGATGCCGTTGGGTTCCAAGAGAAGAAGAGACCGTTGCTAAAGGTCGACACGTTGGAGGAACTTAAGCCGAAAAAAGGAAGTTCGTTCAAACAAGTAAGTCAGCGAAACCCGCGATTTATTTTAATAACCGTATTACCTGTTGTGATGATAGTTGTAAAGTATAAACGTGAGCTGATAGTTATTGGCCGTGGATCGTGGTCATTAATGTAATAAAACGTAGGCGTGTTATAATTATAATTTAGTTTATCTATTAAGTACAGCATAAACAATTATAACGCTCACGCTTAACTCAAGGTTGGCATGTTTAAAACATGACATATTGTTTACATTATTTGAATATATAAAATACAAATCTATTTTTTTAAATTAAAATGTTGTACTCTAAGGATAATTAAAATAACCGGCGTACTTCATATAGGAAATACAGAGAGAAATAAAAAAGAAAGAAAGAATCCTGACCCAATCAAGGTTTTTTAGGAAAACAAAACACCGATAACACGTCATATATTTTTTAGTGAATAACAAACGTTTTTTGGACTTATACAAAAATAAACCCAACTGACTTTTTTGGGTCTAGGTTTTTTTTTTGACAACAGGAAATATAGTTTATTTCATGTTTTACTGACAAATTTATGTCGTGTCTAAAGATAATTGTTGTTTATTACATAATTAAATGAAACAATATCGATTTAACAGTAATTATAGTATTATATTTAAAATTAATAATCAAAACCATAGAATATTAGATGTTTATTCAAAGTAAATTATTATGTTATTCTATGCTGATTGTCGATACTTATTTATAAAATTATTATGATTGTTATTATAGATTAATAACACGATAAATAGTATGATTTTAGATACTGTATTTATTGTACACAGTAACATGTGGTAGATAACAAACGTCGCGACGAGTTCCCAAGTTTCTGTAGCAAGTAGACGAAATACCGATAAAAGTTAAATACTGGGCGTCGCACCGCCCATTTTTAAGGAGTAAAGATTAGGCAATTTTTTACAAAATCTTAATTTAAAGGTTAAACTGTGATGTGTAATTATTAATTCAACAACTAGGACTCTATTTTGGTAGTTAATTAATTTTTCGGACTACCACAGCATCCTTGAAAGCGATTTAAAAATGTTTTTTCATCTCTATATGTTTAAGCAGACTGAAAATAACTCGCTTAACTTTGGTTTTAAAGTAAAAGCACCTATTATAAAATTAAAAGAGAACAATATTCCGGAGGGCACCACGGTGTTTTTTTTTCATTATTGCAAGTATAATTCCCAATATATCGTTTAGAAATAACGACTATTTTAACATTTTTAAATGACGATAACTTTTCAAAAAAATTTTTTTTTTTTTAACGCACCGTGGTGCCCTCTGGAACATTCTTCTCTTTTAATTTTATTATGGGTGATTTTACTCTAAAACCAAAATTAAGCGAGTTATTTTCAGTTGACGTTAACATGTTTTTACCACTGAAAATCACCGGTGCGACGCCCTCTTAAAATAATATGTTAAGGGGTCTCTACACTAGCATGTTTTAAGACGCATTGTATAGGCAATTTTCACCAAATTGTATACACCAATTTAAAAAAAAACGCTAACAAATTGTGGTAATAAAATCCTTTTTACTTATTTAAATTGATTATTAAAAAAATTAAAAATATTTATAAATACAAATATTAATTTATTTATTTAAATTAAATTAAATATTAATAAATCTTTATTAAAATTTTAGTATTAATATTTAAAAATAATTAAAATCGATTATATCTATTTGTATTTATAATCGGAACTAATTATAAGTTCTGATGATATTTCATCATTTTTTCTGCGAAGCATGTTTTTGAACAAAATAACGCGCCGAGTTAATACATTTAAGATTTTTGTTGAGTTAACGGATTTTTATACCACAACACACGCGTTGACCATAATATTGAGAGTGGTCTTTATTTAAACTTTAAATATTAAACATAATATATAAACAAAATATTTAGTTTTCTGAGGAGCGACCACACGTTTGAAAGTATTTACCGAGATTTTATGTTAACGTTTTGATGCAAATATGCAATTATTATATCAATTATTATTACATCAAGAGGTTACATAAGAGATCCAATGACATTATTGTATTTTATTATTGAAAACTTTTGATCTATTTACGTTCTTAGCTTGGTAATTTTCGAATGTCTTTGTTCGTGTGATGACAATTCGAACTCGTTACAGAGTTCATCTTCAAAGGATAGTCACCGTTCTATGTCGCTACTATACTTACGTTTAGTCGTTAATTATTGATATTTAAAAAAACCAATTGGGTTTATATTTTTATTAATTTTTTATTTAAACTACAGTAATGTACATTTAGGAGGAGAGTGAGTGGTTCAGTGGGTAAGGCGTAGGTAACTATCAACTATATCAAAGTATTATATTTTACAGATAGTCGTAGCGCTGGCTGCTAACGTTGGTACCATGAACACCGGTCTCGTTTTTGGGTATTCTGCTGTGAGTCTACCACAATTGCAAGCAAAAGGATCTCGTTTGCTCATAAACCGACACCAAGCCTCGTGGATAGGTAAACTTCTTTAAATATTCGTCTATTTTCGTATTATTCAAGTACTCGAAATACTATCTATTGCTTAATATTTTTTAGCGAGTGTATCGACTATTGGAACTCCATGCGGATGCATTCTTAGCGGTTATCTCACCGATTTAGTAGGACGCAAAAAAACTCTCTTGTTCACACAGTTACCCGCCATCATTGGATGGATAATGATAGGTTCTGCGACGTCAGTAGAGTGGATATATGTGGGTAGATTTTTGGCCGGCCTTAGTTCCGGTATGATAGGTGCGCCTTCCAGGGTGTACACATGTGAAGTGTCGCAGCCACATCTCCGAGGTGTGCTTTCGGGATTCGCATCCGTAGGAACTTCTCTAGGTATAAATTGTAATAACCCCACCCCATAATAGGTGGAAGGTGGTTTCAAGTATTGACCTTTGTACAGGAGTGATGTTGGAGTATTTGGCTGGCTCAATATTAGACTGGTATACGTTAGCGTACTTCAACGCTTTATTATCGACAACTGCACTGTGTGCGGCATTTTTCATACCGGAATCGCCATCGTGGTTGATATCGTCGCAAAAAGACGAAAAAAGATGCAAGGCTAGCTTGAAGAGAGTCAGGGATAGCACCTGTGACGTGGACGTCGAAGTTAATAACTTGGTAACTTTTTCAGAAAACAACACAAAACTATCCGCAAAGAAAAAATTAAAGATGATCTGCCAGGCGTCTACCGTAAAGCCGTTTTTAATACTCACCACTTACTTTATCCTAAGTCAATATTCTGGACTAAATGTAGTCACCTTCTACGCCGTTGACATTATCAAGGTAATCGAGGCTCTTGATTGTTTCTCATTTTACCTGATGCTAATCTGACGTTATATACTCATCACCCCGCTGTGCGTATTCTTACAGGACTCTGGGTCTACGCTGGACAAGTATGTGGCTACAATATTGTTGGGTGTAATCCGATTACTGTTTACCGTAATCGGTTGTATGCTGATGTGGAGGTTCGGCCGCAAGACTCTTTCCTACGTATCAAGTGTGTACATATTTATCTTAGATATTATGCAAAAATGGAGACAAGCGCGGTCAGTGGTAGAGTTATTGACAAATGTGTAAACGTTTTGCTTCAGGTATCGGATGCGGTCTTTCTATGGTGTGCTTTGGCGGATACATGGTTCAACACGACATTTGGAAGTCACAAGGGATAACGCCTCGCGCTACTTGGGTGCCGGTCATGAACTTATCAACATTCTACGCAGCTTCGACTATAGGTTATCTGATCGTGCCATGGGTGATGATCGGCGAAGTTTACCCAAATCAAGTCCGAGGAGTGGTCGGAGGGTTGACTACGTGCGTTGGCCACTTTTCGCTATTCGTAGTGCTTCAGACTTACCCGATTTTCCAAGAACATTTCACGAAACCCGGCACGTTTTTCATTTACGGTGTTGTAGCTCTTAGCAGCACGTTGTTTATCTACTTGTACTTGCCGGAGACCAAAGGTAAATCTTTGCAGGAAATCGAAGAATCGTTTGTGAAAAAAAAGAAACCCGACATTGGCAATAAAGTCGTTGTTCCCGACATTGTCAATAACTTGCCAAAAGCTGCACCGAACGTGGTTGTATAAACACTTTCAGTTCGTAGTAGTCAGTTGAAGTTATAAGGAAATTTCTCTGTAATTAGTTCCTTTAAATTTGATCTTGAATTTTACTTGACTTCGGTGTCTTCTAATATGGCTAATGTAACGAGGTGTGCTCAATATTTATGCAGACCGAGTGTCTTAAATAAAACGTCATTAAGTATTAAAATTTGGAGACTTCAAATTTCGTATAGGTTATTCAAATGTTTATCTTTTAACGTTTTACTATAATTGTTTAATTTTTGTTGGCAAGTACATTTAGTTTATGATTACTTTACCTAATAGTTTCTAGATGTTTCTTAAGACTGATTTAACAAAATTATTTATTATTGCTAAAGAAAATAATAATTTTACAGTTTTTCGAGAACACGTTAATATTGTTATTATAAAATAATTAATACCAAACATTCATTTTTTTAATACAAACGAATGTGACGACTTGTTAGTACAGGTAATTTTTTATGTATATTATTTGTTATGGATTTTACTGATAAATTGTAAAGACACGAATATTGTAAAGTTGTATATGTTTTTATTTGTAATATTATTATTGATTGTTAATGAAAATAAAAACAATATAATTTATATTGATGTATATTTTTTTCTTACATTCTAAAAATTATAAATATAAATCATTTTATCATTTTTATAAGTTGTTATAGTAAACTTAGTTCCTATAATTCTTGAAAATACAACGTGAATGACTAGAAATAAATGTACAAAATAATTGAACTAGTAACCCATTATACATTTATGTGTTTATAAAATAACTACTCTCTTACCGGTTGAAAGTGTATACAAATAGAACAACCGATGTAAGGAAAAAATATTGTACGTGGTACTTAACTTGTAACTGAACGCGTTTATATTTTGTTATAACTCTTTTATAGTATTTATCAAGGGTTTAACTATACGAATTTATTTATCAATAAATAATTAATTAGAGGAAAATAGTAATTTAGTTAATAACGCAGTTGTTTCCCTTTTTTAGTCTTATTTCTTTTTATTATTTTGTGTAACCAAAGTAACAAGTTATTAAATAAAGGAGTTATTGAAATTAAAGCAAGTTCGAATAGAAAACATTTAATGGAATTATTTTTTATGCAGATTTATCTTTTTTTATGTATCCAAAACGTATATTAAATTCTTTGCGTAAATACTGTAAGTTCGGCTTTAAAAAATACAAATTTATCACAATTGCTTTAGTTAATTGACCTCTAATAGTTTGACTACATGACGCCGAATTTTAGCCCAATAGGTGATCACAAGCAAAAACAGACTTGGTTCCGTCGTTACTTTTATTGGACCTAAAACCTCCAAAAAAATTATTTATTTGTCATGTAGTTAATTATAATGAATAATTGATACTTATCTTCCTACCCTATCTCAAAGACTTATGTATGTTTTTTTGAGTCAGAAGAAATATTAAAAATTATTTATTTTTAGTAGGTATTACAATTGATTGTATATTTTTAAATGTGTCAAGTAGCTGCATATTGCATATGAAAACACAATAATAAATCGAATGGTATAGTTATGTTTTCAATTAATACAAACTTGGAATATTTATTTAAGGTAGATGTATTGTATACTGATGGAACATTCTAATATTGCACTAAGCACTTCTGCTAGCTATTTACTTTTCGTGGCTTAGCACTAACGATAACAATATTAGTTAATTAACCACTAAAAATGAAAAACTCAATGACAATTTTAGGTAGTTTTGGAACCCCGGGTTCTTTAGCGGGATGCAACTAGTATCATCAAATATTTAATAATGTTTCGGATATTTGTTAATAGATGCCAAAAGACTGATGTTTTCTTCTTTACACTAATAACATAGTACATAATATCATCTTCAACTATCATAATTTATTAATGTATTTAGAAAAAAAGCTTTCTTAATACATCAACAACATGTATACATTTCTAAACATTTTTCAAGCGGGCAAATAATATAATAAATATTAATGTTGTAATTTTTGTCTACCTCCAAAATAAAGGACATAATAACTTTTTTGATCCATAATAACAAACGCAAAAAAGAACACCCGTTGACACAAGAACAGCCAATACAACATCAATTAGGAAATATTGGGAATCGTTTAGATCTAAAGAATCACTTTTTAAGTGTTCAGCTCCACGGTTCCGAATGACGTACTCAACCCAATAAACAGCTCTCTCCATAGGACTCGTCGGTTGATCTTTGTATATCAAGCTTTGCTTCTTCATGTTTTCTTTATACCTGCTTGAAAACTTACTTTTTAATTCAGGGATCCATAAATTAATAAGTATAGATCATAAAATCATACGTACATAGAATTTGTTAGAACTTCATTAACGGCATTGCCAAACGTCTCTTCGGTCAAATAATGAAATCCTTCTAATTTGCCGCAAAACTTATTCTCGACTAGTTTCACATTTGAATACTGGTCAGCAAAAAATGGCACACCTACTACAGGTACCGCGTAGTATGTAGCTTCCTCTAAACTATGAAGTCCTCCGTGAGTGATGAAAAGTTTCAGATTCGAATGTGCTATATGATTTATGAACATAATTATTATAGTTAGTAAAATGCAGAGTTTAAACGAATCGGTTATTAGGACAATATACCCAAAATATCTTGTTGAGGAATCCAAGCTTCGGTTATAATATTGGAAGGCAACTTAATATTTTCGTCTGGTGACCATTTGATAATTATCTTTTGCTTTAATTTAGCAAGGACGGTGATGATAGCGTCCAATTTAACTTTCGGCAAGTCAGACAAATTAACAACCGATCCAAAGCTAAAAAGTATTACTCCTTCTGGTGCTGAGTCCATAAAACTTTGAATATTCTATAACATTTAACAAAAATTAAATTTATCGTATTTCAGTTCTTTTGTTTTTTTTAAACGGTTAGGTTTAGAAAATAATTTAACAACTATGTCTGCCGGTATATTCAGAGGAAAATCCATTAAAAGTGTTTTTTTTTTACATGCCCAATTAAAAAACCTCAGCCAAGTCTGCAACCACGAAAGAGCATTTTCATGTCTCGTTGAAGTACCAAACAAATTTTGCGCCCTTTCTCTTACCCCTACCCCCTACCTTCCATCCTCTATCACCATTATAATTCCCAACCCCAACCACATCCCTCATCTATCATCTCTTATCAGATATGCTTTTGTAAGGACCGCTTTTTTCGGTTATGTGCCAGAGCTAAGAGATGAAAATGTCAAAAAAAGTGTAGGATCCTTATAAACACTAAAAATATCGTTGGCTTACATGTGAAATACATTAAGTCTAAAGTCGATAATCAAGATATGACTTAACAATGGATTTCGTCAGTCTAAAGATCACAATATTTTAGACCACCAGAAAAAAACCAAAAAAACTAAAATTATAAAAATCTCGATTTAATGTATTTCGCTTGTAAGCCAACGATATAATTAAGTCTCTCCTCTTTTTGGTGGCACGGAACGCACACAGTTTTGGATGTACTGGTTTCAAAATTAGTAGTGCTAAGTACACCTAAGCATGCTTAATCATCCTGTGTCTAAAATAAAAAAATTAGAACCTGCGGTAGCCGTTTCGATGGTCTAATATGCATTCCTCCGACTTCAATGACACCTGGTAAATAGGGTCTTGTCACTCCAACAGCATAATGTCCATTGACCAGTGTCAAAGAAACATTTTTTAACATTTCTTCAAGACTGGGTCTAGTTTCCCAACCTGTATACTTGAAATACTTATCCATAATTTGTTTAATTTTGGGCATGTAATGTAGATTTTCCACATATAGCTGTATAACTCCACTTATAGTGTTTTTTAAACGTTCGATAAATGTCATTTCGTCAGTTACACTCGAACAAATATCTGGTATGTATGAAAATGTAGAAGGCATGTGTAACCATTTGCTGATACTTGGCCATAATGCTGCGGGTACAAGGTTAATGACGGGAGCGTTGAATTTATGCCCAATAGCAACAGTATACTCCTGCACGAACGTTTCAACCATAACCAAATCGAAGGAATAACTTTCAGAATGAATAAATTCCATCATTTTCTTGTGGGATAAAACTAAACTGCCAAGTTTAACACCTAAATTCCATTTTAGAGGACTTGAGTTTAGAAAATTCATGTCAACCAACTCCATAACATTTCTCTCTAAAATGCATACATAACATATTGTTTATTAATTATAAAGTAAAAATAAAAAATAAATGAAATATTATTTAATAATTTTAAATTGTCTGTTAGATATTTCATTATAATAAGTTATGATAGTACCTAGATGTTATAAGAACAATGCATGTTTGTTACTACTTAATCAAAAATCCATTAAAAATGTTGGAAAGGCTACTATTTTTTACATAAACCTAAGCCGTAGGTAAACCGTCGCCCAGTTCACACTCTCCACAAATTCTCCATTTAATATTAAAATAAATTAAAACGAATTCAAACAAATAAAATGCTAAATGTATGCATTTTTACCTAATTGCAAATAATCTACTATGCGAAATCGGTCCTTATGGATTAATATTTCTGAATAGGTTAATAGTATTAAGAACAATTTAGAAATGTAAACATATAAACACATTATTTACCAAAATTTGTATAGTATAAAACTTTGTTAAAATACTACATACTACAAAGTAAGTAGAGCTGAGAATTATTCAAATAGAAATTTATCTAAATAATCATCTAGATAATAAATTACTCACGTGAACATTTTTGAAATAAGTATTAAACATATTATTCAAATAATTTTCAAGTGAGGTTTTCAACTCATTTTTTTAAGAGAACATGATACCTCTATATTTATTAATGATAAATATATATATATATATATATATATATATAAATGTATTTTTTTGCAAAATCTTAATTTGAAGCTTAAACTATTATATGCAATTAAAAGTATAGTAATTATAACTTTTTTTGGTAGTAAATTTATTTTTCGGACTATTACAATTCACAGCATCTTTGTCACGATTTTAAATATTTTTTCATCTATATATAATTACGCAGAATATGTTTTACTAAGTCTATAGTTATTTTAGAGCAAAAACGCCTATTATGAAATCGAAAGATAACAACGTTTTGGAGACAATGTCAAATCTTGTCATCTTTCGTTTTTGTTATAGGTATTTTAGCTCTAAAATCATCATGGAACGAGTAAAGCGCATTCTGAGTAGGTATGTTTTAACGATAGAAAAATGGCTGTATGACGTCCTCTTCATAAAATAATTAATGAGAACATTCATTAATGTATACTTTATAAACTGTTTGTTTCAAAAGCTCACTTTGACTAAGGCAAGTACTTCATACAAATTTAATTTTGCCTTATCTATAATTTAATATTATATTTACAGTGAAATGTAACTCGTTGTTACTGTAATGTTATAATAACTAAAGTAGATAAAAAAATTAATCTAAAAATAACGTTTTTATGCGCCTTGAGAAGTATAAAATAACCCTCCGGGAGTCTTGATAACCAAATAGGACAGGTGAACTAGAAAAACGTGGGGCGCATCTTTTTACTTAGATATAAATCCTAAGCTTTCATGCTAATGCATTAAGTTGTCTCTCATAATGCTGTCTCTCTAACCGAACGGATCAGAAAGTGAATTTTTTTTTAACTACCTACTTGCTAAACATTTAAAGTAATGTGGTGCTCAATTTTACACGACATGTCATTAAGTATTATTTTATGTAGAAGAGAAAAGATGATTGTGCACGAATTATGAGTTAAGGTAGTTATTAATGAGAAGAGAATGTTATTATATATTCAGACGTCTGAAGTAGTAAAGATGCGCCCCACGTTTTTCTAGTTCACCTGTCCTATTTGATTATCAAGACCCCCGGAGGGTTATTTTATACTTTTTAAGGCGCAAAAAATGTTATTTTTAGATTAATTTTTTAATCTACTTTAGTTATTTTGTTCTTTTTCGTTTTCGTATGTACGTATCTATATATTTAAATGTACAATGTTATATAATGAATATACATGATATAATATACATAATAAATAATAAATAAATAATAATAATAAACTTGTATTCTATGGTATTAAAATGCAATAATTCTATAAACTTTTAGATTTCTTACAATATAAATTGCTACTAAGGTTGAAAAAAATTGTAAGAAAATGCAAAAAAGTGTATAGATGGGAACAGGTTTGAACCTGGTACCGCTTATATCTTAGTACCGTTCACGACCAAATGCACCACGCATAATTTTTGCTGGCGAGTGAGAAATAAGTCTTTTTGAATTGCAAGATTCCACTCGGAACGACGGACAAGAAATTGACCCCATTTTAACCCCCTTTAGGGGTGGAATTTTAAACCTCTTGTGGACTAATAATGCATTGTCATCGATTTGTGAGCTACCCTGAAAGTTTCAGCCGAATAGCTAATCGGGAAGTGCTCGAAATTTGAGTTGAAAGATTCCACCCGTAACGACAAACAAGATTGTGAGTTCATAAAAACGTTATAAAAATGTACTTTTCACACCTGTGTAGTATGTCATTGAAAATATTGTCATTAGTCATTAGCATTTATTTTAGGGTACGTACTTCTTTCTCCCTCCATAAACGGTCCGACATCAGTATAGTTTGGAATTGTACCGTTTACTGGAAAACAACTTAAAACCGTGACATTGTGACCTCGTTGGGCTAGTTGTTCAAAAAGAGGCTGAAAGCCACGTATATGACTTTTAACAGGTAACGGCGTGAAGACCAATATGTTTGCAGCATTTGCAATTATTGGAAATGTCAATAAAATCCAACTGAACGACATTTTACACACAATTTCTATTACTTTTATTCAAGTTGTTACATTATACTACCATAATATTTAATCATAATCAAAATTAAAAATAAAATACAATCACATTGAACATTTTAACACTAAGCGGCACAATGTAAACAACTATATTTTACAAACTGCATCTACGCTGTACACATACATCAATACTGTTTTTTCCTGTGTATCGACTATAAAATAAGTTGTTCGTCAACAAATAATCTCATTAATACCTAATCAAATTAATATAATATTAGTTATACATGTATAATAATAATAAAAATGATTATTATTATTGCTATAGTAACACTTATAATTTATATAACTACATTTTTGTATAACATAAGATTAGCTAGACACAGATTAATAATGCAGTTAGTATTAATGTGTTATAATTAGGTACTCAATGGCATATTTCTGTATTAGAAAGGAATTTGTTATCTCGATTCACGGTCAAAGTATACAGTGGGTACTCTGTCCACTAAAATCTAACATTAAGGTTAGTCCATGGTGAGTGTAACTAAATATGAAGTTATCTGTATACAAAATTATGGAGAAGTTATGAAATTATAATGTAGTACATTTCACGAAAAATAATACAAACGAAACTTTCGTTTCGCATTTGTTTAGCATACTAAAATTATGCGATGTGTCTATAATACAATACTATTAAAGTCATCACTACATTAGATTAAAAAATAACAATAATTTTAGTAGCTAAAGCGTTATAATAAAATTAATCTAGTCATTACACACTGGGAGGCTATGAGTCTTGCGGCTTCTTTTGAAGTCAGCGTAAAACTTAAAGATATATAATTATAAATTTCATTCTACTATAAAAAAATAATTATATTATTTTTCTTCATTTAAATTGATTATCATAAAAAAAGCTTCCAACCATGATAAATAATACACAAACATATAATATATATATATTTTTATTTAATTATTTATGTGGGAGCTATATATTATATATCTTCAATTGACGGTAAATTATATTATTTTATCTAGTACACGATATTTGACTAAAGCTTTTTTTACTAATTTTAATGTATTAAAAATAGGTTTTCCAATTGTACAAAAGTCAAGAGAGGGATAAAGTAAGTATTCCTTGATTAAATAGTAAAATTAAAAAAAAAAACAGTTCAGGACTAGGTATCTATGCCTGAATTAATTTCAAGGATTTGCTCCCGTATAGCTAAAGCCATTAAAAATCTAAATAAATGGTAAAAACCAAATATTCATACAACCCGAATGAATTTTGTGATGTATAACCCGATACATCCAACACCCGAATTAATACTAGTTTTAACCTATAGGTACCCATATTCTAAACAAATTACATTTTGTAAATACATATTGACATGTTTGTATATTTCAAGGAGAATTTAGTTTTTTTATAATTAGGGGAACTGTGTTAAATTACTTCTAATAACGTGGATAATGACCTATAATGACTACCTGCACGCTAAGTGTTAATAACTAATAATTCTTGTTTTATACAATGTGCGTTTTAAATAAAAATATTTTTTTTTTAATTAAAATGTTGTTTCTCTATATAGGTCATTAATTGTAAAAGTGGTGAACTCCAAAAGTTAAAAGTATACATATTTTTGCTTAATGAAGTTACATTTGGTCATATTTTTCGTAAAAGAAAAGCGACTCCAATAATTACAAAACTTGTATTTGTTTTCCTACACATTAATTCACCAAAATATCGTTATTTCAAAATGGAATTATAAGGAGTTATTTCAATTTTACAATGAACAACACATATATATGTTTACAATAACACGTGAACAGTGAACGTGGCATTTCCTGGCCTAAAGTTATATTATATGTAAGTTTATTAGTACTGAAAAAGTCAATAAAATATAGGTATACAGTTAATTAAATTTAGTACTTTCAACGCAACAAAGTTCATTAACTTTTCTATTCAAAAGAAGAAAATCATAACTCGAATAAATATATTTGATAAACTAAACCTATATTATTCAAAACGGAAAATACTGAATTTATCATTTAAATACTCAAAATTACAAATATATTCTCTGCATACAAAAAAAAAATAACATCAATAATAACAGTTATCAATATTCTTTTATGAGTTACTTATTAAGTATGGCTAAAACTGGGTAAATAGGACCAATGGATTTTTTTTGATAACATAACTCTGACGGATGCAATAAGTCTGGTGAATCCTTTTCACTTAATGTACCATCTATTTGTAAAATGTCAGGAGTTATGAGATTTACTCGAGGAGTTTGCATCACTTGATTACTAAGAATTATGTTAACTTGTTCAGCACTTTCTCAAAGAGGATTGGAGATGCGACCTACGTGGTAAAATACCCTTATCACGTAATCAATAATTTTGGAATTAATTAGGTATCATTATTAATTTCATACAATTATTATTATACTTATAATAACAAAGAAATCTATTAGTTCTTACTATAATAAATATATAATATTCAGGAATTTGTGATCTTATTTATTTTGCGATTGTCCATATTCCTTCGGATATATCAACAGGAGAATTATCCAAATTATTTGATCCAACATTAAGAATACAAACCTAAAAAAACGAGGGTTATTTTAATAGTTAAGGTTATATTAATATAAGGGACGAGATATGGAGTGTAATATTAACATTTTCCATGTAATAATAGTAAATTTGTTTTCACTTTTTATTTAAATGATTACTAAGTTTGATTTACACACTACACTTTCTACCACTGCATAACTTTAAAAACTCATTTGACTTGAAAAATAATGATTCAAACTGGTTTATTGGCAAGGCATTATTATTAGGAACTTATGTTTATATTATTAATTAAATATATACATTTTTAATAAAAAATTGTCTTACTATATAATACTGGTTTAAGATTTTATATATTTTTTAAAAGTATTATTAATATGTATATTTATACAAAATGATATTTTAAAATATAATTATTTAAAAAAATAACTTACAAACTGTTTAAATAATACGTTTAAAAATGTTGCAAATAATTAAATTGCATAATAATTTTAATTAATCGTAAAACTTTTAATTGAAAATAGATGATTATTTAGAAAACGTTTTATTCGTTTGATACACAACTATGTTGCCACTTGAAAACCTTATAGCATTATAATTAGTTTATTCCTCGAGTATTTAAAAAATTAAATCTAACAAACGAAAAATTTGGTTGTCATAAATACTTAAACACCGCAATAATTGTACCAATTTATACAACACAACAACTATAATTAGTTAGTGAGAAATAAAAATGTTTTATCTCTATTTATTATAATACACATATACTATAAAATGAGCGTGTTTGTGTAAAACTCAAAAACTATTAATCTGATTTTCATCAGTCGTTCAGTATTGGACTTACTTATCATCACCTGATGAACATATACTATATGCAGGGTTGGGCATTATTTGAATCATTTCTTAGCCAAATTAAATAATAAATTAAAATTAAAATGTATTAAAATCTTTTATTTATTAATTTATTTTTGGTTGTTTATGACAAAATTGTTTGTTATTTGTTAAACATTTTCAATTTTAAAATAATAATAGTTTTCAATATAGGAGTAGTGTAAATGTCTTTTTACAAAACTTAGGCTTTATACGGTCAAGAATTTCGTTTTTGACTCCACCAAATATGTTAGGTGCAATCTCCTGAAATGCCAAAATTGACACTATTTAAATTTTAATGGAACAAACTTTTTTTCCAATATTGGAAATCATTGGATAAGTTCTATTATTACGCACCGATCAGCAAGGCATCAGGATTATTAAATTTGCTTTGGCTTGAAATATAAAATTGGAATTACAATATCACTAATAAAGGTAGTACGTATACTAATTATATAAACAAAACAGGGTACTTAAGACCATAGCTTATGGATGCACAACACAGTTATAAAGAGAACATTTATTCTTTTATAAGTGTTTAAACCGAGTTTAAAGAACATTAATCGATACCTTAAAGCATACAAGTGCTAGGTCCAATTTAAATGATTTTAAGTTATACGTCTATAGAGTTTAACTCTTGAGCTTTTAAAAAAAATCCACTAAGGACTTAGAATTTTACGGTAATTTGTAGTAATTGAACAATTATTTATATTTTATGCTCTTTGGACATATCACTGGTGTTCATTTGATTCAGTTTTCTTAACACGAATTCAGGGACACCCAAAATCACAATTTTGAAAAAAATGGACATAGCACTTGTGTTTTGTTAATTTTGTTCTTTATAATCGTGTTGCCCAACACTCATTTATTTATCTAATTTTTTTATAATTTTTCATAGATTCTTAGAAATGATTGAAGAAATTCAATATGCCAATAAGAAAACGGAATTACAATTTTCATTTTGCTGACCTGTAAAATTGTGTAAAAGTTACTTTCCCCCTATTGGTTTTTACTACTTAAAATATAATGCACAATTTCGCTTAGAGCTTTTAACAAATAAAATGTATTAATGGTTTAGTTTGGATATCATTAAAAACATTGTAAAATGAAAACAAAAAAATATAATATATTCTATACCAAAACAAATACAAATAAATATTTAGGTATCATTCTGCCAGCAAAAGTTGCAGAGATTTTATTTAACATCTTGGAAATTATGAGTGCTAATACATTGGCATGACACTAAAATACGAAAATAAAAATCTAAATATTGAATATTATCACCATTAATTAAGTCAAAATTTAAATTTGTCAATTATAACAAACTAATTTTATTCATTATATATTTTTCTAAAAAAAAAAAATATTCGTAAAGGTAAAACAAAAAAAAAAACAGTGCACATGTGAATGAACATATTTACCTGAGTATTATATATATATATATACCTAAACAGGTACAAGTTTACATATAAACCTGGCATAAAAATAATTACTATTATTCTATATACAAAGAAATAATCATTATTTGTGGTATCTAAGAAATGCAAGAATGATTAAAAAATTGAAACCAACATAAGAAAAATGTGTTAATTTATCTGACTATAAATTGTGCGCTTCAAAACTTCTATTGGCTTGCAGCATACAGTTTTGTTCACTTGTCGGCCAATACATATTAAAAACAAAGTATTAAAAATAAAAATCAGCTTTAGTTGTATTGTTCCGGTAAAACATAAGATATGTCGTCCCATGGATGACGGTAAAGTCCTTGCTTTAATCTTTTCTGGTCCATATAATGTCCTAAAATCATCAAGATAAAATGTATAAAATAAGATTAATTTTAAATGTACTTCTAAATAAGTTTATATTGATGTTCCTTATTAACTAAACTAACAAATATACATAGGTAAAAAAAATGCAAAAATGTTGGTGAAGATCGAGAAAAGTGTCAAGAAATGTTAGTTTACATTAGAGACGTTGGTATAAAATATAAATTGTACGTACCAATAAAACCAATACTTCGTCCAAGTACGAATAAACTATTAATAGAGCCCATTTCAATATATTCCTGGGCTTCTTCTCGTGTGAAACTACCACTATTTCTCAACAGGTCGCAAAACGATACTGCTATACATCCATCTACGTTCAAAATAAGGTTGGGCTTTTTAGATGTAGTAATTTTCTCTACTTCTAGAGCATAGTTTAGAAGTGGAGTGGCCGGGAAGTTTTCTAACACAAATTCTTTGATAATCTTAACTCTCATGTCAGGATTGTTGATCTTTAATTAAAAATGTTAACATTACAGAAAAGTTAATGCAAACACAAATACTATTTATGTTAAAACTTACAGATTTTACTCTATGACCAATGCCCATGATGAGTTGTCCTTTCTTACGCATTTGGTTGACAAATTCCATCGGAATCAATCCAGAGTCATATGCCTCGGTGAACTGTTTAGCGGCACCGTCCAAAGCACCGCCAAATCTGTCGCCGATAGTTAATAACCCCGAAACCAATGACGACACTAAGTCTTTACCAGCACGGGCACATACAATTGTGTTGTGCGCTCCTGATACTGCTGGACCGTGATCGGCGGTAACCAACAAGCACATTTCTAAGAATTTACATACATAGGGTGGTAACGATCGTTGGAACCACAAAAGTGAGATTACACCACCGATGCCCATATTAGCCTTGAGAACGTCACTAATAGGCATGCCGGCATAAAGAAGCTCTTGACCACGTTCATCGCAAATACTAGTCATGAAAGAAGCTGGTTTACGAATGAGACCGAGCTCGCGGGCCCAAGAGTAATCCATAGGAACAGTCGGTGGTGGTACTTCCGGTGAAGGTACAATAATGCCTTCTTTGACTAATTTAGTATAGACTTCATTGATAATGTCACCCAAGAAGTCAAATGAAGTAGGTACAAATGCACCAGCCGCTTTGAGGTTAGCATTTTTTGCAGTAGCTGTTTCTTGGTCAGAGTTGGCACACGAACCAGCGTGACCAAACTGAACTTCAGACGTGAACATGCTGGCACAAGTTCCAATACACCAGGCGACCAAAGGCTTGGTAATCTTATTTTGTTTCAAAGCTTCACAAACCTCATATTCTTCAACTCCTCCTACTTCTCCCAAAAGTACGATCATTTTAATTTCTGGATCACTTTGGTATCTCATGATATGGTCCATAAAAGTAGTGCCTGGATAACGGTCACCGCCGATAGCTACACCTTCGTACGCACCGTCAGTAGTTCTTGAAATGATGTTGTTTAATTCGTTTGACATACCACCAGAACGAGAAACGTAGGCAACACTGAAAATATATTTTTAAAATATATATTTAATTTATTTTATGGAGATAATAATTACAATATCTGTATTACCTTCCGGCTCTGTATAATTTGGAATGTAAAATGTTATCCATCATACCACCGGTATTACCAATTTTGAAACATCCTGGTTTTAATCCACCGACAGTAGCTGGCCCAATAATAGTAACTTTTTTCTCGTTAGCCAACAAAATTAATTTCCTTGTCATATTTTCTGGAATACCTTCTGCGATTATAGCAATAGTTCTGATCTGTTAAAATTAAAACATTTATTAAGCATATACAAATTACATACTTGTTAAATATGAAACTTAATAATGATAAAATATGTATCTCACTTGAGGATAGTTTAATGTTTCAATTGTACTATCGTATGCCGATCGTAAGGATGCAAAGTTTACTAAAACATCAGCATTACGATGTTTTAACATAGCGTCTTCCATTTTCTTGTAAACTATTAAAATTCAATTACACATGTTTTAAAAACCAAAAAACCAAATACTATCACAATAATATGTCATTATGTTTATCTATGTACACTAATAGGGTGGCCGTTATTTTGGACTTGGTCACAAATTTTTATTTCACATAATTTTTTCAGTTTTATATGCTGAAAAATAAATATTCTCAAAATTTCATAGCTATATCTCAATATTATCCTGTGCCAAAATCAATTCAAAGTCTTAAGTTTAAATAACATGGAAATTTCAATAAGCTATAGTTATTATTGTATTTCACATTCACAGAAAATTCTAAAAATGTTGAATATGATGGGATAGATCAGGGACCTCAAACTTCTAACATAAGATGGTTCTAAAATAATTTTTTTAAATTTTGTCTAATAAACATTTTGTGACAGTCCAAAAACACAAAACAAAAATTATGTACCCATGGGAAGAGTACACGATTATTGTTATGAGTACACATATGAAAGTGGGAGATAAGACTACAAAACTGTATACACATAAACTACTAACCAGGAATCAACACTTCTTTATGTCCCCAATAAAATTTCAACTTGTGATCCCCAGTAAATGGATATACTAGACAAGCGACTGAAGGCTCATGTCGTTGGCAGACAAAATCAAAATCAAGCATACTCTGAAAGATAAAAAAAATACTATAAATTTAAATGACTCAATGGTAAACAAATAATATAAGCAACTTACCTGTACAGCTCTTGTTTGCATACCCCAAACAATAGCTTTAGTATTATGACTGAACAAAGGTTTTGTGGATGGTGCAGTGGAAGAAAATTTTGGTTGTGATGGTGAGGTCACTGAAGGACTTGTTGCTCCATCTTTGGAGCCATCAACAACTTCTTGTTTAGCGTTAACAGTATTGGCATCCTAAATAGAAAATACTTTGATAATAACACAATTTTAATTTTAATATAATTATAAACTCTAACTTGTCCGCCCGGTAACAAGAAGTTAGCAGTGACTGATTCTTGTTCAGTTTCTTTGGGGATAGACTTTTTGCCTAAAGCATATCCGACAATAGCAGTCATGTGAGTTTCTGGTCCGAATACATAGATGGGAATGCGTAAAGTTTTTCCAACTTCTCTGATAATTCTAAGACCTTCTTGGTAATTAGGACCGGCACGACGAACGTAAATGGTGATATTATGGTCCAAAATTTTTGTTTGAAATTCTGTTAGAGCAGTGACAATTCCCTTGAAAGTGGCTGCGACGTTAGTAAAGTTTGCAATTCCTCCTCCCGTGATCAAAACTTTTCCTTCAGGATGCTTTTCTTGAGTCATCAGACTCAATATGGTCTTAGCATATTCATAAGTCTGTTGTTCAGATGGAGCTCCACTATATTCTCCGTAGTTGGCTAATTCGCTAGCACCACCATAATCACAAATCGTATCAGCGTAAATAACAGAAGCACCACCGCCAGCAACCATAGTCCAAATACGACCTTTTTTGTTCAAAATTGTCAACTATAGAAAAATAATTTAAAAAAATGAATAAAAAAAAATGAACAAAATCCATAAGATTTTTTTGTTATTTTACTTTAAGTGATGCTCCACTTTTGGCATCTAAATCAGCAATATATGCCTCTTCTGGAAAAGCATCTCGTCCAAACGGAGGTGGATATTCAATTTCTCCCCAAGATGCCCGGCAAACGAAATCGGCGGTTGAATCGATTTTCGCAGCCAAGTCCAATATGTATATAGCACTGTCTGTCACCACCAATGGATTAATTTCCAAATATGTGAAGTAAAGATTGACGTACATTTTGTACAATGCTACTACAAATGTCGCAATTGTTCTGAAACAATCATCTTGTGTTTAGTTTAGAAGATTAAATTAAAACAAAATTTTAATAATACTTTTGCTTTGCTGGGCTGACTTTTGTTAAAAGTTGTTCTAAAATTTGTTCTTCGGTGACATTCTGTCCGATGGGTACTTCAAGTTTTAAGGCTTTAGCGTCAACATCTCCAATATCCACACCTCCTTCGTGATGAAATAAAATAGTATCAGCATGGCGATGTGAGTAAATGCACACGTATGCTTCTTCTTCCTATTCATATTTACTATTAAGAATTAACTTACATAAACCAAGTACTAAATAAATAATAACATACAGCTTGATGAGGAATGAAAGGTTCAATAATAAAATTCTTTAATTTTCCATTCGCTCGTCCAATTTGTTGGTCTTTGCCCAATCGTTCCAGAATCCATTGTTTAGCACCTGTGTAGTCAGTTTTTACCTTGATCAAACCCAATTTACCACGACGTTTTATCAATTGATCTGGTTTTGCTACTAAGCTCTAAAATAAATAATAGAAAAAATACTTCAATAGTGCTTTTTATTATAATATTATTAAATTTGATTGAAATGTGACAAAAAACATACTTCACTTTTTAGCCATGGGTTGTCAATAAGGAGATCTTCCCATTTGGTATTCTCATTAACAGAAGCAAATCGACATTTTGCTGCAGACGTCAACGGTGCTAAATTCCTATTTATAATGTCTTTTCCAGTTGCTTCGCTAATTGCTTTGGCTGACATTTTGTAATAACTAATAAAAAAAAAAATTACGATCATTATAATTATTATACACAATAGTTGTGTGATTAAATAAAATCTTTTTTCAAATATATATATATATATATATTTTTTTTTTTTGCTATAGAATTAATGAAAATGATGACAAAATCTGTGGGGGGCCCCTTAAAGTAAAGGTTATTCAAATTGTGTAATTGTTAAAAAAAATACTAAAATTGTACATTCTTCATAATATAATAAAAAAAACGGCTGCCAAATCATTGACAAAAAACTTCCTCAAAACCGAATTCTATTTATACTAGAAATAAAATCACGATAAAACCAAAAAAGAATATGTTCTTACAGTAACATAATAATAACAAATCTATTATCAAGTTCTATGAGTTTAAGGTAAGTTCCGCTGATAACAACAAACATATTTATAACTTATACAATTATTGATCTAAAGCCGAAATCTTTAACACATTTCGAGTTCAGTCAACTACATAAATTGTGTGAAATTTAGATATCTACGTTAAATATATCTCGAGAAAAAAATTCCAATCAAAATAAAACCCTAGCATCACCAAGTTTTAATCAGTTCATCTATACTCTGTTCTTATTCCGAACAGAGTATAGACAACTGAACAAACATAATGGTTAACGTTTAGGAAAAAAATTTAATCCGACTAGTCGCTCTCGAAAGACATAATAATTGCACATACGAACTAGACACATTCACGGAATGCCAAGTTGTTATATTTCGTTTACAATGCATTTATAGTCTCACTCTCATTCTGATATTTATAAAAAAAAATTTCAGGGAAGCAAAAATATTTAAATTTTTATTAAAATATCTTTCCTATTATGCAATTGAAAATGACAGCCAATAAAAGCTGCTTATTAGGGTTCACAAAACATAAAATAAATATTCAAAGTACCGAAAAAAGAGCACTGTGATTTAAAAATGTGTAGCCTTTTGACTAGACTGTGAGCTGTTACGTTTAAAATTAAATATTTTACAAAGTAGTCTAAAAAACGAGGAATATATATATTTTTTTGTTACGTGTTAGTTATCAATTTCTGTTGAATTAGTTTGTTATAATAGCTGCAATGCTAATATTATTATCAATGCAAAAATAACAATCATCCTACATAACTATATACAAAACACTGTATAGACTCGCTTTCAATAACATTGAAGTTAAAGCTACGAACAGAAAATAAAAAGTTAGCTAATTACAATATATATATATTTTTTAGATTGGCGTTTTAAAATATAATATAAAAGTAATTAAGAAAGATCCTCTTAATATTGTATAACTTATTATATCAGAAATTGACTATAAAAAATAAAAATATGAAATTAAGATAACATAGGGGTCAAAGAAGGTCAATTAACAGATTTACAAGACTTCTATGACCTTAAGATGTCTGACGTATTAAGCTAGTTGCCATTTTACAAATTAAATTCAGTAAAAATACTAAAATGTTTAAAACCGGTTAGAATTAATTTAAGTTAATTATAAATAATAAGGAATACTACTATTTTTCAATGAAAAATAATAACGTACGTCGGTCGAATAAATTTATATTTAATTTTTGGTAGTTGTTAAAATATTGATGTATGTACTAAGGATATAAATAAAATAAAATAAAACAATACACATATGTTGTGCAATTTTTCAATAACTTGTAAATACGAAAATCAGGTGCGTTAACGATACAAAAAAATTATTGTCGATTTCAACCATAATACCAGACTAAGGAAGTAAGAGTATCGTGGTTAATGGCATTAAAAATACGCACATACATATTATATAACGTAACTGTAGGCAAATTATAACTCATTACCATTATATTTGAATTCATTATTATACAATAACATATTTAATTTATTTTGTTTTTTATTAACGAAAAATAGTATTCATAGTATATGAATACTATTTATAGTATTCACTACTATAAATACTACTTTTTATACTATTTACTATGGATTTTTCAATTAATTTTGCTATAAACAATTTATGAAAATAATAATTGACGTTGTACAATTTAAGTAATAACCTTTAATATATATGACAAAGGTACATAATTAAACCTACACAATTTTGTATTTATTTAATTACTTTTGACAAAAACTAAGTAAACAAATGTTTAGATTACAAAAGTTTAACATAAATAAAAACGTTTTAGACGCCTTTGATACGGGCTTGTAACAATGTAAACCAAATTTTTTTATTTTTTTTAAGGTATACATTTATTTAATTTAAAATTATATTTCTTTAAATAATTTATTGTTATGAATAAAGAAATCGCTTGTAATTTTGTTACCTTTGATTTAAGTTGGTAACAAAATATGTTCAACATTAAGTTTATAACAAAAATGTAAAAACAGACGTATACAGTTCAGTTTTATTTATTTTGGTGTAAACAAATAATTTATTCTAACTAAATTGTTAAAATTATTTATATATATATATATTTAAAAAAAATATTGTTACCTATTAGGTCGCTCTCGTTGGTCGACGGCAGTATTTTTTTTATTAAGAACTAAGAAGTAGGATATGATTGAACAGAACGAATTTCCTTCAACGATGCCTAACAAGTAATAAATAAAAGAACACAAACACTAGCAAACAGTGGGACGAACACCGTCTATGGCGCGAATACGACTGATAGGAGAAAGTTATTAAGCTCGCCCTTTCTTACGTGACCAAGGTCGCATGTGGTACCCGAAGTAACCTATTGACTTAGACCGGTATTGATAATGATTACTAACAATGAAAAGCCTGTTTAGATAGATTAATTTATCATAAAGGAGTTAAGTACAGACAGTAAAATATAATATAAAAAACAATGTACTATATTATCCCAAACCTGGTTTGGAGGGCAAAATAATCATTAGGCGTTTTCCCTAACTATTGAAATATTAGAAACTATTTTTAATTTATTTCTCTTTTAAGGTTTTGGTCTTATGTTAACTTTATTTTGCATCGATTGCACAAATCATATTTATACACATCATTCCCCAAAAGCCTCATAATAAATTAAAAACCTATGTACTTAAAACGGAATTTAATAACCAAAAATTAAATTTATTGTCTAAATTTCGGATTAAACGACATTGTGAAGAGATGGCATTTTCAACTTTTACTGTTCGCTTAAAATATTTTTTTAGTTCAAATTTAAATTTCACCAGTATCTAGGAACTTTTGTGTCATACTGTACATGTACAATCTGTTACATTAAAATGAACAAAATATTAAATCTATGTACTTATTGTGGTATTGGCCAAAACACTGAATACCGATTTAGAATTGGATACTCAACGATAATACTAAACAACATTTGTTTAGTTATTAGAAGACTTTTATTTAATCAATTACATTTATTGGCCGTCGCCCGTCAGCGCAACTAAAGTAAAATTGTTGAGAGGCTGTAACCTTTATGATAATTTATATTTTAAATAAACATAATAATAATTGATAATTTTTAACTGTAATAATTATAATAATACATGAATGATATGCATTTACTATGAAAATTCTAAAAATCAACAACTTTTAGGGGGTTCCAGGGACTTTGGCGAACCTTTCAAAACCCTACCTAGTTGTAAATTTGATGACATATAATTTAATACAATGGCCTACAGTATATTGAGTAGCAGTACTCAAAAGAAATTAATCTGTTGTGACAAGTGTAAACAATTTTCTAAATTAGATAGGTCCTTCAAAAATATAATTGTGCGAACAACTTATTTTATGACACCGCACACAATATTTTTATATTATTGAAAATACATAAGCAACTTACATAATAAGTCAATAATGTTCTATTTAGAATTTCATACACAAATTCATTTTAAAAATTAATGTTCTAGTCAGACATATTTTTGAATTGTTAATTTATATAATTATGAATGTAAAACAAGCGATATAGATGTAGTAATTAATCTCTAAGCGCATGCGTTCGCGGTGTTAACACTACGACTTTGATACTTTTTAAATACAGAAATGAAATGGCTAGGCGATGTAAATACTGCAGCGCGAGCGCCGAGATTTTTTAAGCACAGCATCTTGGAGGTTAAATATTCTTGTATACAAAATTAATAACTATATAAAATATTATTTAAATAACACAAATGGTATGGACGTTTAGAATTAGTCATATCCAAACCACCTACATACCAAAAGTGTTAAAAAATAGTTACCATTAATCAGATATTATGCTAATGATATACTCATGCTTTTTTATAAACAATACAATACCTAAGAGTAAATTTTATAAATATTTTTGTTTAAATGATATCAGAAATGTCTGATTTCGGTAAAATCTAAAAAAAAAACGTAAGATGAAAACATTAATAATCATTATTGATTATAATATAACGTTTATGGTTTTACTAAACAATTAGAAATTTCAATATTGTTTAATTTGAATGAGTTGTGAATTATCATACAAGCTATTGAATAAGGTTATAACTTATAAAGAACTTTTTGATCTGAAATAATGTTTTTATGTACTATTCATTTAAAAGAAAAAATATATAGTGTTATTTTACAGTAATAAAGGTTAACTGCCTCAAACTTGTTTGTTGAGTGATAGAAGGACATCATGAAAATGCGAAACTAGTTCAAAATAATGTGAACGAAGAATAATAATTGTTGTTAGTATTACGTATCATTGCAATACATTTACAACATTCAGTAAAACTAGTTGTATTCGATAAAACCGCCTCGTCAAGTTTTTGCAACTAGCACTTGGTTTAGTCGTTAGCGTACATATGTTACTAATATTTATGTTACCTCCTATGAAATATACGATTCGTAAAATAATATTATAATAGTACCTGATTTTCTTCCGACCTTACTGCAAAACAAGGTCGTTTTATCAGCTTATTGTACAATACAGAGACGGAAATATCTTGATTGACGATTGCAAATCACAATTAGGACGTATAATTTTTGTTAAAATATTAAATTCATTTTTATATTATATAAAATGTGATAGGTATCTTTATTTCACTGCAAC